CCAGACACGGTAACTCCTCTCTCCCCCAGAATGGTACTGTAGCCATCAGGGAACTGTCGGATAAAACTGTCAGCATTGGCCAGCCCAGCAGCCTCGTACACCTGTGACAAAGATTAATTAAATTAGTAATACCAAACTAGTGACAGGTAATACAAACAAAGTAACATAGAATCAAACCAGCTACCTTCTGATTACAAGGCGAGTACAGCAGTACTATAATCACTCAACCACCAAGCTGACATAAAAACTTTTACTCATACCAGTACTCATAACGTTTTTAATGTGTTACATTTTAACAAGTTACCTTTAAGCATGTTACATTTTAAAAGGTTACAATTTTACATGTTACATTTTTACATGTTACATTTTAATATGTTACATTTTAACACGTTACATTTAAGCATGTTACATTTTAAAATGTTACATTTTAACACGTTACATTTTAACATGTTACATTTTAACTTCTTATATTTCCACATGTTACATTTTTACATGTTACATTTTAACATGTTTTACAATCAAGTCATTCCCTTGCAACTAACCTGGTAGCCTCGTCTAGTATGAGGATGGATGGGATTTTCAGTAGAGCGCGGGCGATAGCTATCCTCTGTTTCTGGCCCCCAGACACGGTAACTCCTCTCTCCCCCAGAATGGTACTGTAGCCATCAGGGAACTGTCGGATAAAACTGTCAGCATTGGCCAGCCCAGCAGCCTCGTACACCTGTGACAAAGATTAATTAAATTAGTAATACCAAACTAGTGACAGGTAATACAAACAAAGTAACATAGAATCAAACCAGCTACCTTCTGATTACAAGGCGAGTACAGCAGTACTATAATCACTCAACCACCAAGCTGACATAAAAACTTTTACTCATACCAGTACTCATAACGTTTTTAATGTGTTACATTTTAACAAGTTACCTTTAAGCATGTTACATTTTAAAAGGTTACAATTTTACATGTTACATTTTTACATGTTACATTTTAATATGTTACATTTTAACACGTTACATTTAAGCATGTTACATTTTAAAATGTTACATTTTAACACGTTACATTTTAACATGTTACATTTTAACTTCTTATATTTCCACATGTTACATTTTTACATGTTACATTTTAACATGTTTTACAATCAAGTCATTCCCTTGCAACTAACCTGGTAGCCTCGTCTAGTATGAGGATGGATGGGATTTTCAGTAGAGCGCAGGCGATAGCTATCCTCTGTTTCTGGCCCCCAGACACGGTAACTCCTCTCTCCCCCAGAATGGTACTGTAGCCATCAGGGAACTGTCGGATAAAACTGTCAGCATTGGCCAGCCCAGCAGCCTCGTACACCTGTGACAAAGATTAATTAAATTAGTAATACCAAACTAGTGACAGGTAATACAAACAAAGTAACATAGAATCAAACCAGCTACCTTCTGATTACAAGGCGAGTACAGCAGTACTATAATCACTCAACCACCAAGCTGACATAAAAACTTTTACTCATACCAGTACTCATAACGTTTTTAATGTGTTACATTTTAACAAGTTACCTTTAAGCATGTTACATTTTAAAAGGTTACAATTTTACATGTTACATTTTTACATGTTACATTTTAATATGTTACATTTTAACACGTTACATTTAAGCATGTTACATTTTAAAATGTTACATTTTAACACGTTACATTTTAACATGTTACATTTTAACTTCTTATATTTCCACATGTTACATTTTTACATGTTACATTTTAACATGTTTTACAATCAAGTCATTCCCTTGCAACTAACCTGGTAGCCTCGTCTAGTATGAGGATGGATGGGATTTTCAGTAGAGCGCGGGCGATAGCTATCCTCTGTTTCTGGCCCCCAGACACGGTAACTCCTCTCTCCCCCAGAATGGTACTGTAGCCATCAGGGAACTGTCGGATAAAACTGTCAGCATTGGCCAGCCCAGCAGCCTCGTACACCTGTGACAAAGATTAATTAAATTAGTAATACCAAACTAGTGACAGGTAATACAAACAAAGTAACATAGAATCAAACCAGCTACCTTCTGATTACAAGGCGAGTACAGCAGTACTATAATCACTCAACCACCAAGCTGACATAAAAACTTTTACTCATACCAGTACTCATAACGTTTTTAATGTGTTACATTTTAACAAGTTACCTTTAAGCATGTTACATTTTAAAAGGTTACAATTTTACATGTTACATTTTTACATGTTACATTTTAATATGTTACATTTTAACACGTTACATTTAAGCATGTTACATTTTAAAATGTTACATTTTAACACGTTACATTTTAACATGTTACATTTTAACTTCTTATATTTCCACATGTTACATTTTTACATGTTACATTTTAACATGTTTTACAATCAAGTCATTCCCTTGCAACTAACCTGGTAGCCTCGTCTAGTATGAGGATGGATGGGATTTTCAGTAGAGCGCAGGCGATAGCTATCCTCTGTTTCTGGCCCCCAGACACGGTAACTCCTCTCTCCCCCAGAATGGTACTGTAGCCATCAGGGAACTGTCGGATAAAACTGTCAGCATTGGCCAGCCCAGCAGCCTCGTACACCTGTGACAAAGATTAATTAAATTAGTAATACCAAACTAGTGACAGGTAATACAAACAAAGTAACATAGAATCAAACCAGCTACCTTCTGATTACAAGGCGAGTACAGCAGTACTATAATCACTCAACCACCAAGCTGACATAAAAACTTTTACTCATACCAGTACTCATAACGTTTTTAATGTGTTACATTTTAACAAGTTACCTTTAAGCATGTTACATTTTAAAAGGTTACAATTTTACATGTTACATTTTTACATGTTACATTTTAATATGTTACATTTTAACACGTTACATTTAAGCATGTTACATTTTAAAATGTTACATTTTAACACGTTACATTTTAACATGTTACATTTTAACTTCTTATATTTCCACATGTTACATTTTTACATGTTACATTTTAACATGTTTTACAATCAAGTCATTCCCTTGCAACTAACCTGGTAGCCTCGTCTAGTATGAGGATGGATGGGATTTTCAGTAGAGCGCGGGCGATAGCTATCCTCTGTTTCTGGCCCCCAGACACGGTAACTCCTCTCTCCCCCAGAATGGTACTGTAGCCATCAGGTAACTGTCGGATAAAACTGTCAGCATTGGCCAGCCCAGCAGCCTCGTACACCTGTGACAAAGATTAATTAAATTAGTAATACCAAACTAGTGACAGGTAATACAAACAAAGTAACATAGAATCAAACCAGCTACCTTCTGATTACAAGGCGAGTACAGCAGTACTATAATCACTCAACCACCAAGCTGACATAAAAACTTTTACTCATACCAGTACTCATAACGTTTTTAATGTGTTACATTTTAACAAGTTACCTTTAAGCATGTTACATTTTAAAAGGTTACAATTTTACATGTTACATTTTTACATGTTACATTTTAATATGTTACATTTTAACACGTTACATTTAAGCATGTTACATTTTAAAATGTTACATTTTAACACGTTACATTTTAACATGTTACATTTTAACTTCTTATATTTCCACATGTTACATTTTTACATGTTACATTTTAACATGTTTTACAATCAAGTCATTCCCTTGCAACTAACCTGGTAGCCTCGTCTAGTATGAGGATGGATGGGATTTTCAGTAGAGCGCAGGCGATAGCTATCCTCTGTTTCTGGCCCCCAGACACGGTAACTCCTCTCTCCCCCAGAATGGTACTGTAGCCATCAGGGAACTGTCGGATAAAACTGTCAGCATTGGCCAGCCCAGCAGCCTCGTACACCTGTGACAAAGATTAATTAAATTAGTAATACCAAACTAGTGACAGGTAATACAAACAAAGTAACATAGAATCAAACCAGCTACCTTCTGATTACAAGGCGAGTACAGCAGTACTATAATCACTCAACCACCAAGCTGACATAAAAACTTTTACTCATACCAGTACTCATAACGTTTTTAATGTGTTACATTTTAACAAGTTACCTTTAAGCATGTTACATTTTAAAAGGTTACAATTTTACATGTTACATTTTTACATGTTACATTTTAATATGTTACATTTTAACACGTTACATTTAAGCATGTTACATTTTAAAATGTTACATTTTAACACGTTACATTTTAACATGTTACATTTTAACTTCTTATATTTCCACATGTTACATTTTTACATGTTACATTTTAACATGTTTTACAATCAAGTCATTCCCTTGCAACTAACCTGGTAGCCTCGTCTAGTATGAGGATGGATGGGATTTCCAGTAGAGCGCGGGCGATAGCTATCCTCTGTTTCTGGCCCCCAGACACGGTAACTCCTCTCTCCCCCAGAATGGTACTGTAGCCATCAGGTAACTGTCGGATAAAACTGTCAGCATTGGCCAGCCCAGCAGCCTCGTACACCTGTGACAAAGATTAATTAAATTAGTAATACCAAACTAGTGACAGGTAATACAAACAAAGTAACATAGAATCAAACCAGCTACCTTCTGATTACAAGGCGAGTACAGCAGTACTATAATCACTCAACCACCAAGCTGACATAAAAACCGTCGTCGTCGTCGTCGTCGTCGTCGTCGTCGTCGTCGTCGTCGTCGTCGTCGTCGTCGTCGTCGTCGTCGTCGTCGTCGCCGTCGTCGTCGTCGTCGTCGTCGTCGTCGTCGTCGTCGTCGTCGTCGACCTCTAGTTTTTGACGATATTCTTTTAAACTAATGGCCATTAAAATGAGGTGTCATAATAGGGCTTTACATTCAAAATGTTTGAGTTGTCCCCAAAATAACCCATTTTGGGTTTTCGGACGAAATTGGGATACCAACAAAAAAATTGCACTTTTATGCCGTATAGAGGTGTGCAGAGTTTGGTTTTCCCGGTGTAACCCATTAAAAAGTTGATAGTGTCCATACTTTTTCCAACCCTAATAGTCTTACTTCTTGACTAATTGCAGTTTGTGCTCCTGCGCTGAGATGTAGTCCTTGAGGGTGTGCAGCAGCGCAGATTCCGACTCCAGCAACTCCTCCAAGTCTACCAGAGCTGTGTAGAGCTCAGCAGAACACACAGTAATAGACACTGCAAGGAGCAGCAGTCGTCCAGCCATGCTCATGTCTGCAACATCAAGAATTAATTGTTTGTGTCGCATAGTATGTAGAAACAAAGCCTCAGATTTGAGTAACCTTTCCAGGTCCACTGTAAGGTTAGAATTATGTAACTAACCCCTCCAACTGTGATGGGGAACAAAGTAAATGGACAGAAAATTAATTTTTTCCTGAGAAAATCAAGAACCACAACAGAGCATACGTAAAAAAAATACTTGCAATCATAATTTTAAGAAATGCAGTTGATATAGTACACACGTTTAATTTAGGGCAATGCTATATTCATGGCATTATTTACTTAGAATCCAACAGCTGGTACAGTTTCCAATTAATTGATTGTTCTCAAGCTACACAATAGAACACTATTAATCTTTAAAAATAAGTTTTGCAATCATGTCTAAGAAAATAGAACAAAAAAATAATGTTAAAAGCAGAGTGATGAGTAAAAACCTAGAGAAGAATACACCAACCTCAAGCTTACCAAAGAATAAAAAGTCAAAGCTTGAAAGTTCAACTGATTCAAAATTACCCGTTTTCTGCCATGCAAGAAAGACTCATAACTGCTGTGTTGATCAACCAGGTCCTGGATTAAAGAAGCATCTCTCAACACTTGGAAGAAAATCTGGCTCTCTTGTCGATCTAACACCAAACACTCAGAAAATTAAAGTCAAATCAAGAAGGAAAAATGAGATTGACACAAATCTGGAAGTGGAATCACAACTGCAAATTTCATTCATAACCAATAAGGAGTCGGAGTTGGCAAAAACTGCTTGCAAGATGTTCATTCTGAATGCTTGGAGGCATCGTATTAAGCAAACATCTTCTCTTCAAACCCAACTAACGACGCTGAGAAATGAAGTGGACAATCTGAAAATCCAAAAGACTGTTTTATATGAATTGTTTGCTAAAGGACATGATAGACTTCAAATATCTAGAAGAGAAGTGAATAATCTGAAATCTTGCCTTCAGAACGGACAGAAAGAAAATGTTCAGTTGCAAAATGAAAATAACAATCTGAAAACTGAGAAAATAATATGGCAAAACAAAGAGGAGGAAATGATATGCAAAATGAAAACTATGAAGGATGAGTTGATTTTGACATCAGAGCAAAACAAGTATCTTAGGAGAGATTGTGACGATTTGGCGAAAACTCTTTCAGAATGCAAGCAAGATAACATAGAACTCCAAGACCGTCTAAGTAATGTTTCAGTTTGTCTCGAAGAAAAGGAGAAAAGTTTGAAAGAGATTCAAATTGAAAATTCAAATTTAATCTCCAAAACATCACAGTTAGAAAAGACAAATGATAAACTTATGGAAGAAATCAAAAATAAAGAAATGAAGATTGATAATCTGAAAAAGACAAAAGCGAATTTGAATGTATTGCTGAAAGTTTTTCAGATCATATGCACCGTTCAGAACGAAAGCATTTCAAACTTAAAGCGGAATTTATCTGAACAGGGGAAACATCTGAAGAAACAGACTAAATCCTTTGAAAACTTGAGGAATATGGTTGAAAAGTCTGCAGCTGAAAAGGAAGAGCACATTAAAAACTGTACACAAGAGAGAAACAGAGTGACCTTTGAAGCAATTAAAAATTCATCAGTATATTTATCATTTAACAACCCTAATCCTGAGAGACAAATTAATCCGTTCTTTTTGTGATATGTTAAGTTATTGTAATTAATTGTTATAAATTACTCTCATTTATTAAGCCTATATTCCTGGCATTTCTAAAGATTATATAAGTCTTTTAGGAACTTGTATAGCTTTAGTGAGTGTAATCATTAAAAATGTAATTTAAACTATTAACCTAAAAGTTTTTTTTTTTAATAGCAACATTATTAAGTTAACACAGTTAGTTTTTTATTGGTTAAAAAAAAAAATATTTTTTGATAAAACCAAACTAATTTTGGAACATAACTGAGTCAACTTGTCTGTAGTTGAGACAATTTACCTCAAGATTCAACTAAACGCAGTTAAATAATTTTATCCTACTGTAAATGAAGATAAGTTTTATATAGTTTCGGCACACCCATGTGACTGGATCTGCTAAATAAGATGTCAAATACAATACATAAATACCCCCGCCGCAGCAAACCTGCAGACTAAGCGAATTTCCATTTGACTGATTGGATTTACACTGAAATGTCTACTTAAAAATATAACATTAATTCCCTATTTAAATAGAATTAGTTTAACATATACTTAGGTTTGCTGCATCAGGGAGGGTAAAACTGTTTTTTTTTTTTTTTGTAAAATGTTAATAGTTAGTAAGAAATAAAAACATTTTCCAAATTTGATCAAAATATGTTCATAAACAAGCAAACTACAACAGTTTACTTAGGCCGTCGACACACGGGAAGACTGTTTTCCAACTGAAATCGGCAACCAGTTGGACAAACTAGTCGCCTACGTCCCGACCAATGTAGTTAAGTGGGACAGTGCACACGGTGCGACTGCGATGCAACCAGTTGAGGACCAGTCGGCGATCCGCTAGGTGATTTCAGTCGCCTGGTTTGAACAACTTTTCGCATATTTGTATTGCGCTTTTCAAGGATCAGGTATACCAACTGCGATAACTCTTCGTAAGCACTTTTGACATCCTGTACATAGACTGAAATTTTGCGTCTGTTTCTTGTAATGCAGCAACAGCTACAAAGAGCCTACATTAAATATTTGTTTTAACATAAGGATGTACCCAACACCTTCTACTCTACGCTTTCTTGATTGTTTATAAAACACTAGGTCTTTTTCATCTCTATTACTCATTTCAAACACCATACACAGTAGGCCTACACAGTATCGTTATAACAAAATTAGAACTCATTCACTGTCTCAACTCAATTATAGTCGCGCCCGTGTGCGGATGTAACCAACGCAACTGCAACCGTAATCGCGTCACAAAACAGTTGGTTCAACTTTAGTTGGGTTTCAGTCTTCCCGTGTGTCGACCGCCTTATTCTCCATAAGAATAACATGGGAATTTTAAATTTACAATTTTTTGGAATTTTCTCCGTAACCATTACGCGCATAATAACGCTTCAATATACTAAATTATTTGTTTTTTAAGCTCTACAAAGTGGTTTGGAAAGAAATTGCTAAATTTTATGTTTTTAGGGTCGAAAATGGGAAAAACCTATTTTTACCCCATAAAACCCCCCGTAAACCCCCGTTCCCATGGTCCGATCAAGCTGGATCGCAAACTCGTTCGAATAAACGTAGGTTTACACGTTTGTACCAAATTTCATCAAAATCGGATCATTTTTGCTCGAGTTATCGTGCTAACGGACATATATATATGAATTTGAACGGATGGTGTTTTTGGCCTCTAGGGACCTCAAAACAAAAAAAAAATCGGTCCCGCGTCCAGGTCTTACCATGAGTACTACGGTAATAGCTTATTCCCTATATGGGAAATTCGCTAAAAGTACACCGGCTATTATTGTTTGTGATTGGCTCTTCTCAACTCTACCAAAACTCTACTTTCAACATTAACCTATTACGCTACTGCCCAGCCGTCATAAAGATAAACACAATTTCCTGGTAGTTCATAAACCACTCTTCACTAGAGCGTTCAATTGTGCAAGTGTTAATTCTAAAGGGTTAATGGAAATGGACTCAGATCGCAAATTCAGATTACTAGTATGTAACTGTGGTTAGCGTAACACGGGAAGCGACGGTTTTGGTAACCGGTGGCGGTCGTGTTGCACGGTGCAGACCACGATGTTTTGTCAGAGTTTCAGGCATTGATCATATACCACGCTGTAAATTGTATTATCATCGCATGATGTACTTTTCGTACCGATTGGTGACTTATTCCCAAGATTTAGTGTACAAAGTATACGTATTTTTAGGTTATAGCCTCATGAATATTACAACAGAAACGGTTATAATACACATATAAACAAATTATGTCACTGACCCAAAGGGCCATACTAATAGCCGTAATAGCTGGTATGGATGTTTTTTGACAAACTCCATTTTAATATTAATACAAATATGCTTTCGGGCCAGTGACATAATTTGTATTTATGATCCATACAGTTTCTGTTTTACTGTTCGTGTGTAGCCTACGTTCCGTAACGTGAACTTATGAGATTCAGTGATGACTGAAGCTGAAATTCACTTTAAAATAGGCTTAGAAACACTTAGTGGACATTTTTTCAGTCAAACGGGTATAAAACCCACGCAAAATTAGCTTCAGATTGAGATTTTACATGAGAAGTTTGTGGCCAAATCCAAATCAATTGTGCTACCATGGTAAAACATGATTTTGCTACACACGCCTTCACTCATAAACATATATAGCACAAAATATTCCTTTCTCTCATACGTATTTTGATTGCGTGCCACACGACATTCTGCTTAGCAAGCTAAAATCATATGGGGTTGAAGGCACCACGCTACAAACAATCTCCAGTTATTTAACTAATAGGAGGCAAATTGTATCCCTGGAGGGAGCGAATTCGGCCAGTAAAGAAATCTCCTATGGTGTTCCCCAGGGCTCTGTCCTAGGGCATCTCCTTTTCCTGATATTAATTAATGACCTAGGAATAGACGGACAGGCATTACTATTTGCTGATGACACAACATTGGTGACGGAAGGCAGATGTATTGAACGGGTTAAGAGGGAAGCAAGTACATTGCTGGAGACAACAATGGAGTGGTTCGCTTCAAATAAGTTAAAATTAAACGAGGACAAGACCCAACTCCTGATCTGCACTCTTGGGAGACAAATTGCTGCTGAAGAGAATCAACCAGTAAAGTTGCTTGGTTTCTGGCTTGACCAGAAATTAAACTGGGATCACCATATAGCCCAGATCTGCACCAAATTGTCTCGAGTGATCTTCCTCCTCAGAAAGCTACGTCATGTGGTCACTGAGCAGTACCTTGTTACTGTTTATTTCTCGCTGTTCCACAGCCATATCTTGTATGGTATACTCCTTTGGGGTCATGCTCCCGCATGCAGTAGATTGTTGATACTCCAAAAGGAGGCGTTGAGAGTGATAACCTACACTGAAATAACAGGCAAAGATTTTACTCATAGGCCTATCTTTCAACGTCTCGGCATCCTGACTGTTTATGGACAATATGTCCTCAATTGTCTGATACACGTACGCCAGAACATCTCTAAGTATGGAAGAAGACAAGATATACATCAGCATAACACCAGGAATGCTAGAAACCTCGACACCCCTCAATGCAGACTGTCCAAATCCCTGAATAGCTTCCCAGTGACCGCAATTAAACTCTACAATAGTCTGCCTGAAGAAGTCAGAAGTATGGATGTGGCTGGGTTTAAAACCTCAGTGAAGGAAAAACTTCAAAATAGGCCTATTTACACATTTAAAGAATTAGATGACGTGCCACTTTTTTAACTCGCCGCCATCTCAGTTTACTTTTTAAATTAAATTTGACGCAGTCCATCCGGAATCCCGGTCAGAGACGAAGCCTTCAAGTATTCAAGTAAGAATATGTGATAAACATTGGGAGAAAACTTTACAAAAAATCGCACAAAATTGGGTTTTTAAACGTCCGTCATTTTATTTACAAAGTATTGACGACATATTTTAATGGCTAAAGACAATCTCGCCCATCCAGTGAATACATTAAAATGATTTGAAACTTGATAGGTACTCTCGTTTTTCAGGAGAAGGCCGCGTAAAATGGCTCTTGGGCCGTGACAGACAGGAAGACAGACAGACAGAAATTTAGATGAGACTTGTTTCAGTTTCTTTAATGTATAAAACGTAAAAATAACCTAAACCTAAAAGTTTATGATTCTGAGAAATGTACAGACAAAACTCTAATTTTATTTATATAGACTAGTTGTTTCCAGTTAATGATATTAACTATACAGTATTTAAAAATCATTAAACAATTTTAATTACCCTTAAATTTATCAATACGAAAAAAAGGAAGGACTTTTAAGCGTTTAACTTTTAATTAACCATAAATAGAAATCTTAAACTCAATACTGTTTTAATAAAGGTTTTAAGGGTGCGTTCACATAGAAAGCTGGTTACAAGCGCTTGTTGGCAAGCGCTTGCAAGCTCGAACCGGCGTGAGAAAAGTCAACATAGTATCAAGCGTGTGCGTTCACAGACAAAGCTTGTGCCGGCTAGCAAGCGCTTGTTACAAGCTCTGACAAGCACGCAAGAACGTTTCGTACTTGTTTTCCGGCGCTTGTTGACCGAACCACTGAACCAGTCAGTTACAAACTACTAACGGTGCAGTATGGATAGCGATGAGTTGGTAGCTCAAGTAGGCCTACAGTATTTAGAGCTTCCAATTTCCAAATAAAATATATTGCTCACGTATTGTGTTTTCCCCCAAGAATGTTTAATAACGTAACCAATAGGACAAACATAGCATATATGTATTAAGATGATAGACAAACGCATTTAATTAAATATATTAATTAAGTGTTGGATATTTTATGGGTGAAACTTGTATACTTTTACATTATTTACCTAGAAAATTAAAACATCTGAATATATCTCACAATATTATTTGGATCATAATTAATCAGCTACATAGGGTGTTTAAAACTCAGTTCGAGTAATTTTAGGTTAGGAAATGGCGGAGGAGTTCAACCGACAAATTTTCATGTGGCGTAATAATTATATAGATATATATATATACCATAATACCATATTACCACACTACAAATTTAATTCTACAATATACGGTACGTAGTTTTATCCAAACACACGATCGAAAACCCCGAATGATATTGTTATTTGATTCAATAGTCAATGCACATAAGCGAGTCCTATCTTTCAAAGCAGATTAAATAATACAAAGGCGGAGGAATGCGCGAGAACGAGGTCACGTCACGGTTGCTATAGAAACGACGAAACTATCCATTAGAATTGCGCGCCAACGTCAACTAAACGCCAGACTGTATAAACACGCCCCGTGTGTAGTGTTTGACGGAGCTAGGCTACTTTCAGTTGGCAATACTGGATTCTAGCCTCAAGCGACGTGGTTCGACCATGGGAAGCGCATCAAACTCCTGGGTAATCCCGGTTAGCTCCTCCCACTCTGTCCCCTATCCCCACCTAAAAGACGAGCAAGTTATAAGTCGGCCGGGTCGATTGCCGAGCAGTTTGTTTCTCGCATATAATAATTTAGTTTTACAGGCCGGTCAACTGGTCTGACGACGAAATAACTTGTCAATGCACTGGTTTTCAGTATTTATCTATTTATTTAAAAAAGACGGTCTAGTGGCCAGACGACCAAGTATCTTGTCGGTCTAATGGTAGGCTCCCAATATAACGGCTGTGATCTCGGGTGATATTCATGATGACATTATAATAAATTATAAATCCACACTAAGACAAATTTATTTCTACTGAAGCTAATGGTTACCCGTCTCAGGTAGGCTAATCTGTTAGATATTATATAAGTTAGGTTATTTCATTTACTGTTACCTATGTCTATTGAGCTATTATGAATGTTTAGTCTATGTTTAACATTAGACAACAATGTAGCAATGAGTTTAATAGATCACCACTAGTGATATGGGTAGCTATTATTAACTAATTAATTAGGCCTAAATAAAACTTTTTTTTAATAAAAAACAATTTTGAATTACACTTTTAATTAGCCTGCAAGCTGTAAATAATTAAAATGCAATTGAATTTTTTTTATTCAAATTTTTAGTTCAATTGGTTAATACCGTAATAGTTACCCAGATCAAACAATTGATTTTTCCGTTCCCTTCAAACAATTGTAAAAAACAAGATTGCATCTATATTACATCGAAATTCAAACAAGTTTATGCATTTCAACTCACTCTTTCATTTAGGCTGAGACCAATAATTGGCAAAGCCATGTAGGTACGGATGTAATTTCATTAAACTTACCAACATTTGCATTTGCATTTGTTTGGTTTAGCCTTGCTCGGTCCCAATATTTTTTTCTGAATGGAAAAATGTTGTAGCAATTAGTTCAACCACCATCCTCCTAGTTACTAGTTACATCTACTGTAGATGTACTGTTGTAGAAATCTTTCACCCATGCTGCTCAGCAATCCAACCTGGTAAAACATATAAATGAGTTAGATGATCTCTACTACATACATTGACATCCAGACAAGTTTTTTTTTTATAATTTAACTCTCCCCGCAAGTAAAAAAATGCCGATTTTGGATGTTTAAAAAAATTAATTATAAATAAACGGGAAAAGATAAAAATAAACAAAAACCAGTTTTCTGTTTGTATTTGTTAGAACTATAAGCATACCAAATTTCAAAGTAATCCAAGATGGTCAGGTTGAAAACTGATTTTTATTTGTTGATTTGATATGGAATGGCCCCTTGGCGGCCTCTTTTATCCACAAAGACTACAGATCTGGCTGTGAAACGTATCTAGCAAAGCAAGGGGTGAACCGGTACAGTACGAAGGTGAACTGTACTGATAAATTTTAGTGGCAGTAACCAGGATCCGGACCCACGACATCGCTGCCTTAGGCCCGAAGTCCGGACGCTACCAACTGATCCACCGACTCACCAAAGACTGTTGATACTGAACAATGAAAAATTATTGTAGTTGTCAATTTGAAGTGACCTTAAGTTAAATAACGGAAATGTAGCATAAAAGATGGACAGAATGCAAATCAGTATAGGTACTTAAAAAATATCTTTAAGAAATCGACATGAACCGACAATATCATACTAGTTGGGATCTGTTGTTGTTATTTGATGAATTAAAAATACCAGACATTATCTGTGTCAGTGAACACTGGTTGACACACCCGGAATCTTTAACAAATATAACTTTGGGTGATAAGGTCTTGGTATCAGCCTATTGTAGAACTGTTAAGAAGAATGGTGGAGTAGCCATATTTGTAAATAGTAATTTTAAGTGTACAAAACTGAAATTGGAACAATTCTGTATAGAGCAAATATTCAAAGTGACTGGAATTGAACTTGTTGACGAGTCATTCTTTATTCTTGTGGTTTACCGCTCCCCAGGGGGAAGCATTGATGGTTTCTTAAAACAGCTCGACCTGTGTCTGGATTTTGTCACCAAAGTGCACAAGCGTATTATCATTGGAGGTGACTTAAATGTACACCTAAACTCTGGATCATCCGATGAATTTGAACTGATTAATCTGCTGAGGTCGTATGGCTTCTACCTGACTAATTTCCAACCCACGAGGGGGATTGCTTGTCTCGATAGTGCTGCGATAAACTTTGACCCTGAGGACTGTGTGACTTCTGTGGAGGTGGTGGCAGATCACTGTGCTGTAACGTTGCAAATTACTTCTACTCCTGTAAGTACCTCACCTCAACCTATTTGGCATGACAAATACACATTTGCATACAGAGTAATTAACGATGATTCTCAGCTGCTCTTTTTGAATAGATTAAGAAATATTTCCTGGGATCCGATAATGACCATACATAATGCAGATGAACTTTTTGATAATTTCTTTGATAGATTTTACAGTGAATTTGAAAACTGCTTTCCTTTGAAAACCCGTCGGAAAAACTCAGGTCATCCCAATGTGAACAATAACTCTAAAGTAAAGGCTCGGTCCGGCCCTCCTGCACTTAGGAACTGTTATTCACCTCAACTTCATAAGCTCAGGGAGTTTGTAATTATCTTACATGATAGAGTAAAGCATTCGACTACGCCCGATCAAAGGCAGGTAAACTATAATGAGTATTTACGTGTTAAGAGGTGTTACAGGCGCATGGTGAAGAATGCAAAGAAGGCAGCAAATGAAAAGTTCATAAGGGAGTCGCCCAACCAGTGCAAAAGCAGCCTGGAGTATCGCTAACAAACTTTGTAGGAAACCTGTGGATCTTGCTTGTGTGAGTAGCCCGGATGAAATAGACGACTACTTTGTAAGTGTGGTTGGTAATATTGCGAGTGAGCTAACTCCTGCAGATGGCCATTTTGTATTAGATCCAAAGCCCAATGTGACAATTAAAACCCGCTTGACAAGGTGGAAAAACGTTACTCCGGCAGAAGTATTATCACTTGTTGCTAAATTTCACCCTAAAGCAAGCAAAGATGTATTTGGTATCAGTGTAAACATAGTCAAAAATACGATTAAGGATTTCGTAGGTCCGCTGACTCATGTGATAAATTCTTGTCTTGATCAGGGTTGTTTTCCGGATAGGCTGAAAGTTGCCAGGGTTGTCCCTGTGTATAAAAAAGGGGATCGTGAACAGGCCAACTAGTCCTACTAGACCTGAGCAAAGCGTTTGATGTGGTGTCTCACGAAGTTCTTCTGCCAAACTTGAAGCCTATGGAGTGGAAGGTACTGTGCTTGCTACATTTTCTTCTTACCTTAGGAATCGAAGACAGGTGGTTGCAATTGATGGGGCTCTTTCGGGAGAACGCAGGGTGGAACACGGTGTCCCGCAGGGCTCGCTACTTGGACCTCTCCTGTTCCTGCTAATGGTGAACGACTTTAAGTGTGGTGACGAGGCTCTCATGTATGCGGACTATACCACCCTTGTATTAGGTGGATGCTCGGTGACGGAAATTGAGAGAAAGATGGCCTTGGAGCTGACCTCCGCCGAGAAATGGTTCAAGACCAATAGACTTCAGCTAAATGTCAACAAGACCCAAACACTCATCTGCACCTTGGGCAGAACTCCGCCTGCGAACATCGTACCTCAAGTAAAACTTCTTGGATTTTTTATTGATACACGGCTTAACTGGCAGAGTCATACGGAAGAGATGTCAAAAAACCTCTCAAGGGTAGTATCTCTACTTCGCAAATTGAAGAACAGCCTGACTGAATCCTATCTCTTGACCATCTACTACGGCCTTTTCCACAGCCATTTGAGTTACGGCATACTGCTCTGGGGCCACTCCTCAAGCTGTAAGGCAGTGCTGAGGTTGCAGAAGGCGGCCATCCGAGTCATCACTTCTAGTGACCGGCGTGAGCACAGCAAACCCATCTTTAGGAGATTAGGCGTGCCCACAGTCTACTCGATGTATATCTTATCCTCATTGGTACATGTCAAGAAGAACTTGAACGCGCTTACAACCAGAGGCGATGTCCACTACCACGCCACACGTGGCTCTACTAAGTTAGATATACCGAGAACACGCCTAATAAGCACACAACGCCGTTTCCCTGCCATGGCAATGAAGCTGTTCAACAAGCTGCCGGAGAACTTGAGAAACCTTGAGACCAAGAAGTTTGAAAGAAAAATGAAAGACCAACTTATTCAGTCGGCCTATTTCTCCATCAAGGATTTCCTTGAGGATAATCTAGCGAGTAACTGACTCAAAACCCTACTTCAACCACCAAGTTTGTGAGTTGACATATTTGTACATAATATTATTTTTTTTCTTTTGAAAATGACAAGAACATTTTATTTGCTATTTGATATAATATTAAGAAAACTGACGCAGTTAATCCAGTAAACCTGGTCAAAAACGAAGAGATGGTATTAAGATGGTAGCCTAGTTACATTAGACTATAACTTACTAAAATATTTGCTAACTTATAACCTACCAGAGAGTCGAAGAAATACAATTTAGGCTTCACAAGTGAGTCTTAATTTAGTCTTGCAAATAGCCATTTTAGTTATACGTAAGTTATTTAAGATCCACTACTAACCAATAGCCTACATGCCTGTTAACTTAATTCCCTAAGCATTAAATGATCATGGTAGACTAAATAGGTTATCAGTTAGATGTCCACAGTGAAGCCTAGCCTAGGCCCTCTCTGATACTACCTTGTCTGGACAAAAATTTAGAGAAACTAACTATGTAATGCTTCTATAGGCTATGTCTAACCCACGAATACAGTACTAACTTAACCCTAGCAGTGGCCAATGGTCCCGGCGGGACCATTTCACCGTGCACCCTTAGAATGGCCATGGTCCTGCCGGGACCATTTATGTCCAAACATTTTTAACGTTAAAAACTAATTGATAATTATCTTTAAAGTGGATAATTCATATACCATTCGAAAGATGACATTCTAAACTTTCATTTTATTATATAAACGAACCTTCTAGCGTCAATATGTCAACGTAATTGCAATTTAAGTTTGAATGAAAATTTCCGCGCGAATCTACTTCCACTTGTAGGGTTGCGTAACCGCTAAACACATAAAGTTTAGAAAATCATAGCGAGGTTAGTTTTTTCCCTATCTGGATGCGAGTTATACCACTAGATAGCAGTAGAGTTGCTGAATATTTTGGCATAGATTATTTTATCAATACATTGATAGCAAAGAACATATGATATTTAGAAAACACGTAATTTTACAAAAATTAACAAATGGCAAATGGTCCCGCCAGGACCATTTCTAAAGTCGAAATATATATATAATGGAATATTTATAACTATTCAAATATAATATCCTTTTGTAGTGTAGGAAACGTAGAATAATTTAGTGTTGAGAAATGGCAGCCCTGATCACTGTATAATTTCTGTGTTCTGTCAGCAACAAAAGAAAATTGCCATCTGACCAAGTTACAGTACTCTGCTTGTTTTGTGCGGATCAGCTGACTTACGTTTTGAAAGTAAATATTGTTCAGCGAATATCTTGGGAATCATTCTAATTTCGGATTTTGTACTTATGTAGTGTTTTTTGTTAGTAATGTTTTTGTGTTTTAGGACTAACAGTAATCTTTATGCATGAGTATAAGCCTACTGGAAAGTCTAATATCTGAATTTCTTTTTACATAAACGGCAAATCTTTAGTTTTTTTGTATCATAAACGGGTAATCAAAAATTTTTTACTGCCTACAATGTGACATATTTGTATTCCTTAGTTTATAACTTACAAGAATATGTGTACTATATTACTATCACTAATTACCTTACATGAGCTATCTCCGAGTTACTAATTATTCGTCTTACGTGACAAACCTTGCGATTTTTTGTATTTTCTTACATAACACATGTAAATAAAAATATTTTCCCCATGTGTTATACATTTCTATAAAGAGAATTGAATGTACTATAACATTTTTATAATATGTTTGGCCTACAAAAATCTGTACAAAAATTTTTTACAAAAATGTCTTTGAATTTTTTTCTATGTAAACTGTAAATTTTTAGTTTTTTGTATCATAAACGGGTAATCAAAATTTTTTTACTGCCTACAATGTGACATATTTGTATTCCTTAGTTTATAACCTACAAGAATATGTGTACTATATTATTATCACTAATTACCTTACATGAGTTATCTCCGAGTTACTAATTATTCGTCTTATGCGACAAAATTTGAATTTTCTTCATTTTCTTACATAACATTTGTAAAAAAAAATATTTCTCCCATGTGTTATACATTTCTATGTAGGGAATTGAATTTACTACAAAATGTATATAATGGTTTTGGTCTGAAAATTATACTGTAGTAATAACAAGACTTTACTTTTGAAATTTCAATCAAATTTTTTGAATTTTTTTATTTTTCAAAAAAGTTACCAACTCAGATTCAATTTTTATTTATATATTCCGATTCTCCTGCTTTTTCTGAATAAAATGAATACAAACATTGATAGGTTGAGTCCATATTTGTAATTTTGACAGATTTTTAAAAAAAGGTCTGCAAAATTGCCAAAATGGGTTGGCCATTCCCCACTTCTAACATTGGCCACTGCTAGGGTTAACTTAGAACAGGAACAGGCCAATGGTAGGCTTTAAACGAACAGACACGATATGGATCATAAACTTAATGTCTATGATAATGCTGTTAAGTTAAGACAATAGGCCAGTAGCACGAATACTTTCGTGAGGGTCATTTTGTTGTTCAATTATTACTTTAAAAAATACATTTAAATTTATCTGTGTTCAACTTTATGAAGGGATTAATTGACGCAATCTTTATGTCTGTTACTTTCAGATCTATGTTGGCTAAATTTATAAAGACAATGCCTAGATCAAACTACAAAATAGGCTTACTTAATAAGTTAATAAATACGTGGGCAATTTGACAATAAGATTAGAACGGAAATCTGAGCTGGTTCTTTAATCTGTAGTTTTTAGTTTTTGTTACCAAAATCAAACTTACGTATTGTTTCTGATAAAACTCGATTCTTCAAATGATTTACAGAAATAATAATTAACTTAGCATATTTTGTGTCTACTGTACAAGTGGAACAACAGACTACTTGATTACACATTACACAACAGTACTTAACTTACTTGAGGTCTGCACTCTGCATTCTGCAAGTGCAAAGTGTATTAAAACTGATTAAAAGTGCGTGTCGGATGTCGGCGTCGGCTGCTTCCAATCCAAACAAAATGTAAACAACACAGTCACGTGACACAGCACCACTTGCGACGTTGCCAGTTCGATGGCCGCGGCCTGTAGTTAAAGGCGGCCGTGGCTATAACACGACCACATTTAAATCCAGGCCGCGGCCTGGGAGAATTGGCAACGTCGCAAGTAGTGTTGTTTGGCACCAGATGTTCCATTAGATAACATGGCAGACAGGTGCTATGGGGATTAAACATCAAGGAACGCTCGAGTTTCGTTGAAGCCAGCCACGGCCACCTTTAACTACAGGCCGCGGCCTGGTGGAATTGGCAACGTCGCAAGTCACCGCAAGTGGTGTTGTTTAGTTTTGTGTTGTTGTTGAAGGCCGCGGCCTGGAGTTAAAGGTGACTATGAGCCAGCCCGCCGGTATCGGCTATCGGGATATTGCGATACGATATGTATTGGACACGACATCCGACATCTTCATCATAAAAAACAGCTTCATTCATTCATACACCACCAGCAGCATCAGCACCAGAGTTGTTCACAAGAAAAAAACAATTCTACCCAAACTAATACAAAACAAATACGAAACGGACGAAGTACACTTTGACTGTAAGTGTAAACTAAACTAAAGCCAAGCATCAAAATGGCGAAAGCGTTCAACTCAGTTGTTGTTTCACGTGTTGGAAATGATGGGGATTTATCGCCAAAATTTGAATTCCCAGTGACAGTGATAGTGGAATACGACCCTCAAGGACTTAGTGTTAAATTAAAAAGAGGTAACACTAAATTCATTATTTTTTGACGTATGACATGTGTTGGCTGTTCATGTTGTCGCTGTTAAGAGCCATAACTTGCAAGCTTTAAGTGCAACTAAAATGTTAATTTTTGTCAATTGGTTTGAGCTTTACCGACGCAAATTTTTATAAAATTGTCTTTAGGCCTAGTTGTCAAGTATTCAGTTTTTACTGGACAATATTTTTCATCATATTCCATGCTAACCTAGCAACCCTTTGTGAACGTTAAAGTTCGCTAGTTTTTACTAATAAATTAGAAGATTAGATCTTCTAAGTGTTGATACTGTTAATGAAGTAAAGTGTTAGAGAGGTCATATGCCTCTCCTTATTTTGATAACAATTTGAAGAGCTAGGCTAATTGCATATAAAACCCCAAGGCTAGCCTAGTAGCAAATAGGCTTCACGCCTAGCCTACTCAAATCTCAACCAATTGGTGGAACCCTTAACAATTTTCATGCTCTTTGAAAAGTAACAACTTTGATGGCCATCACTAATACAATTGTGGTTGAGTTAAAATAAGTCAGATAACATATTTTTAATTTTCAATAGAAATGGATTGTATTGTAACTTAACTTAAATTAGGAATAGGGCCTAAATAAAATGATTTTTGTTTACATTTTGTAATTTTTAGGTGAACGGGCCTAACTTGGTGTGTAAGGTATTAAGTAAGCACCTATGTATTTTATTTTTTATAGATGATTCTGGCTGATTACCCCAGATCAAGCTCATTAACCCCTCCCGTAGGCCTACGTGTGATCGATATAGGCCTATCCGCTTAGGCCTAAGTCTTTGGCGATAAAGGACAGGTGGCGGCGATATATCCGCTTATAGTTTTTGATGTTCCGGAAGGGAAGCGGATATATCTGCCTTCTCCTCAGACAGACTGGCAGGTGCTTGAGCAGTAACCAGATGTTTTGCGGTACCAAGGCGCCACTTTCCTGCTCTCTCCATGGCTGCGCTCTCTCTCGCACTCCCCCCTCTCTCACGTGCCTACCCTCTCCCGCTCCTCACCCTCTCCCCTCGCACCACCCACCTCTCCTACGCTCCCCCCTTGACGTTTCGCACTCAACACCACGTTGTCTTTAGGCCTATTTATTGTTTACATAACTTATTGTTCTTTATTTATTGCCTAACGTTGTCATGGTAATAACTTCAAAGACGGGTGGGGGATATATCCGCTGCTTTTCTACTCATCCGGGAACGGGTAGCGGATAAAAATAGGGGGTAAAAATAGAGGGGGGGGGGGTTTTAACTAGGTCCGCCTAGTTAAAAACGAGTAAAAAATTTTTTTGACAGTATGAAGTGTTTAGCCTATATTTGTTTAACAAAACAGATAGGCTATAAGGATAATTATTTTTATTTTTTCCTATCATTTATTCCGTTCTATGGCACGAACGCCTGTCCGGGAAGGGTTTAGTTAAGGTAAACCCTCTAGTAGTTGACACTTCAAGGATGGAAATATAATCATAAAGTTCTCAAATCAAAATTATCAATGGAATCTAGACAAAAATGTGTGATAAATAAACATTAGATTTTGTGTATTACACTAATGCGTAAATTTTTACCTACCGGTATTGAATTAAATGGACAAAATGATGATTTTAGCGAATTTCCCTATAGGGAAGTAGCTATTACCGTAGGTCTCATGGTAAGACTTAGGCCCGGGACCGATTTACTTTTTCATTTTGATGTCCCCAGAGGCCAAAAACACCATTCGTTCAAATTTTTATATATGTATATATATATATATATAGATTTATATATATATGTGTCCGTGAACACGATAACTTGAGTAGCTAATTTTTATCCGATTTTGATGAAATTTGGTTTGAAGGTGTAAGGCGGGATAAACTTGAATGAGTTCGCGATCCAGCATGATCGGACCATGGGAACAGGATTTTATGGGGGGTTTTATGGGGTAAAAATTGGTTTTTCTCACTTTTGATCCTCAAAACACAACATTTTCCAATTTTTCTCTAAACCTTCTTAAAGCGCTTAAAAAAACAAACAATTCAGTATATCAAAGTGTTTTTGTACGGTTATTGGTTACGGAGAAAACTAAACAAAATTTAAATTTAAAATTCCCATGTTATTCTTATGGAGAATATTGTAAAATGTTGTAGTTTGCTTGTTTATGGATATCTTTTGATCAAACTTGGCAAATATATTCATTTTATACTAAGCAATAATTATTTTACTTAAAACACACTATTTATTAGTTTCCTTGTAGCAGCAAACCTAGGTACTCGTTAACCCTCCGAGTGTCCATAGTTTAGGCCTTAATGTCCACCTATTTTTGGCCCCTTTGCAAGGTTTTATTAAAACGGATCTGAGAAGCTTAAAACAATGTTAATTCTAATGTTCTATATACCATTTTGTTTGGAAAATCATGGGCTTCAATATTATATATAAAACATAAGGAACATTTAAAAAAAAAAAAAATTTTTAGCTAAAAAAAAATATAATTTCAAAAATTTTCAAAAAAAAAATAAGTTCGCGCTCAATGAAATTGTATAAATTATAGGCCTATAAATATTTGAAAATAGCCACTTTGTTCTAAATTTAATGAGGATTACAAATATATAATCATATAGCGAGGTAAGTTATCAAATAAATAAGTTATGAGCGAAAAACGGATTTCAGTACATAGCGTTTAGCTAAGAATGCATAGCCTAACCATAGCTAGGAATCTGGCTGATAATTTACATCAATATCACTACCTACTTCTTCAGGATCATCAACCAGCACTTCAAAACCACTTAAATCTTCTTATAATGCACCACGTATATCACTACTTTTGATTTTTAACACTAAAACAATGATAAACGTAATAAAACACATCAGTCATCGGTCCGGGGGAACCTAGCTGTTTACAAATACACGCACGTCAGCTGTCTGCTACAATATTTTCGGAACTAAAATGAATAGCGCTTAGAGACAGACCTCTGGAGAAAGCTTAGAATATTACGGAAAGAACGATACCTAACTCGATCCAGTTCAATCCGATTCAGTCAGTCATAGAGCCTTCGCCGTAAACGATGTTTGTGCGTCTTAAAAGCGACGCGTGACCCTACACAAAGTGTGTTGTGCGTCGTTTTTATGACGCGTGACACTCGGAGGGTTAGACCTAATGTTATTTAAATAGATCAATTGAAAATCAATTCAGCCAAATGGAAATTTGCTTAGACGGCAGGTTTGCTGTGGCGGGGGTATTTAATTAGGTAACTTAATAATTCATTTATTTATACAAACGGCAAACGCCAATTTCCAAAAACATGCTTAACATTTTAGATAGGCCTATTTGTAATACTAAGAGACTAACTTAATGTTCAAATCAATAGTTAAATTTGAAATAGGCTACAACAGCAGTGATAATGACTTAGGTAAGTTTGATACAAAAGAACAAAAATGACCAATAAGAACAACACATTGATTAAATTATAACTAGAATCATTGTGTTTTAAAAATGAAAACTGTGACAATATTAATGTCTAAGAAAAATTAAAATTGAGAATTTACTAACAGTTTAAGCACATGTACTGTACCAGTTGTAGGTAGTTGACACATTAATTTTTGTATTTTACCAATAGCCTAGTTAACACCCAGCGTACCAGTAGGCCTAGTTGACACTTTGATTCTTTAAACCATTCTTATGACAGGCTACAATATATTTTCAGATTAGTAATAAATACAGAAACCATAACATTTAAAATTTATTATAAAGTATAAGTTAATAATCTGATTTGGCTTTGCGGCACTAGCCACTAATAATTTCCCTACTGTCACGTCTTCAACGGCCTTCTGTAATTTGATATTGGCTATAGAACGATATACTCCCCTTTGTAGGTGGCATTTTATCTTGTTAAATCATAAAACTGTGTAATGGGTTACGAATAATAGCCTATAGCCTAAGTTAGATCTTTTGGGTTTAGTTTAATCGTTAAATTATATGCCATTAAATGTCAAAAATAGCTTTAGGGCTAATATGAAAATAAGAGTTCAGGTCAACGCACCAAAAGTTGACAGGGTACATGTTCCAGTAGTCGACACTGCTGCTTACTCTAAAAAAAAGGAACTCTGGCTTATGTGTACCAAAAGTTGACAGGGTATGTTCCAGTAGTCGACACTGCTGTCAACTACTGGTCTGAAGCTTCTTAGGTTAAAACATTATAGGCTAACTGTTTAGGGTACTAAAATATCACATATATTCCTAAAGGTAATAGTGTTATCTATTATTACAAAACAATCTTTACACTGACTGCGCCAAAAGATGACACCCCTGAAATCTTCTGGAACAAGCTTGTGTTAGCTGTACCAATGGATGAAAGGCCTGGAAATCATTACCCATTAATCTTAAAAGTTAAAAAAGTAAGTTCTATTTTAGTAGTGGTAGTAAGCATCTAGATATTAATAATTATATATTATAAATCAACTAAGGAGGATTTATAAATAAAAATGGAGATGTCCGTTGGAAATAAATAATTGAAATAAATAAATAAGGAGGCTGAAATTAAGTAAATTATGTTTCAAATAAAGTTTTTATCAACCCTGTACCTTGTCCAAAGCCATAAGAAATCATAAGATGAGAGGCTTCAACGGACGGGTAGAGTGAACTTTGTAGCTCCAGCACCACATTTCAAACACATAGCTAACTTATTGTATATTGCAATACAAATGAAGGAAAATATCTGAGGTTTTTTTAAAGATATTGAACATAAAGGAACTTTAACTTGAACTCTTATTATTAGAGTTAGATTGGTAAAGTGTCAACTAGGCCTACTGCCTCGGTGTCAACTACTGTAACATTTACCATTTGAAGTGAAGGAGCTCGAGACAAGTAAAGTAGACATCGCCGGGGATGGCGGGAGGGGGCCGTGACTAGCGGCACGCACGTCTGACACGGCCGGCCCTCGACGAAGTGTCTAGCTGTAATGTTAGCTTCCGTCTGTGGCCCACTCTTTGTTGAATCTTCAGTCCATCAATACAGTCATTGTTATACAGTGCAACTAGCTCGCTACTACTAAGTTTGATAATGGGTCTTAAGGTAGCCGCTGAGATGCAATGTTCTAGCGTGAGTGGGTGATAACGGGACCATGCACAAGCCAAGTAGGCCCTACTACAAAGCAAAAGCGGAACCTGCAATCAAGAGAAATCAATCAATTTTACGTAAAATGCTGAGGAAACTATGCTAGCTAGACACAAAATGTACAGCAAATTGAATACTAGAAAAAGGAAAGGTTAACCATTGTGATTATTTATGATTAGACAACTGAGTGGATTTCATTTTTGCGTTAATCGCGCACCTAAGGCTCATGGAGTGCCTTTAAATCTTTAACATGAGAAGTTTGCTTTTTCCTGGAACTGGACAATTGAACCTCATACATATTGTAACCCACTTTACGGGTAATGACAAACGGCCTTTCTTATTTTGGCGACAATTTCGTTGCCACGGCGTTAGCTTTGGACGTTAAAATGTGAGTCCGTTTTAAGACTTGCTGGCCAAACGCATATTGTACATCCCGGCGTCGCAGATGATAATACTTTGCTTGAGATGAAAACACGTTTCGCAAGTTTCTCTGAGTTGCTTGGTATAGAGCCCAAGAAACGTTGCATTTGCTCGTGATGTAATTCATCAGGAGTTATTTCACCCCCGTCATTAGCAACCTCAAAAAACTGACCACGTATTACCTCAGGCACCCTTAACTCCCGACCATAACACAACATGGTGGGTGTGTACTTGGTAGACTCGTGCACAATTACTTTCAAATTACCGTCCCAGGTTTGTTGCGCCACCAGGGTTTTAATCACCAGGTTGCGTCTCTCAATAGGGTTGGACTGGGGACTGTAGCCTATGGGGCTCTGATTTCCAAACTTCAATTTTAGTTCATAAAAAGCTGCTGACAAACAAGCATCAATATCTGAATACCAAGTTGGTAAAGATCTGAGGTTTGTGAGCTCAGTACTTGCCAGGAAGGCTTGTTGCAGTTACCACGGGTCAGAATTGAGATGGGGAAAAAGGCCTTTTCCTACTATGGACCCTAGGTTTACAATACTGCCAATAAGAGTAAAAAAAATAAAAGGAAGAGTTTCAAAGTGTTTTGGTGTTGTGTATTGAGCTAGGGCAGATGCACGGTTGAAGATGAAATGTCACATAGACTGACTAGGCCTACATTGTTTTCAGTTTTTGGAGATTAATTTTCTGTCAATTGTATTTTTCGTACAATTGCAAAATTATTTTTGCTATGTTGTAGGGAGATTAATTAAGCACTACATATGCCTATTATACAGTAAATTAGTATGAAGGCTATACTGCTGGTCTAAGTGGAACGATATATTGGAATGGGAATGTGTTGGAGCCAGAAAAGACCCTACAAGTATTTCTATGATGATTCCGATCTTTAGTCTATTATAAAAATAAGAGAGTTTTAAACACTTTAATTTTCTGTAACGAACTACTGTACTATTTTTTTTTCAGACTCAAATAATGGTAGAAGTGACGATGTGTATGAGTTTCCTGTGCATAGACTGTCTGAATGTGCTCGGATAGGAACCAAGTCATATATATTCAATAATGAAAGTGAAAGTCTGTGCCTCAGGTTTCGAGAAGTACCAGGTAAGCCTTAAATCTTCAAATTGTTCAGATATTGGTTCATCTATGAGTGGGGAATTGTTGTTCAGGGCTAAGGCTATTTATTAATTTATAAATTATAAATTAATTAAGCGTAGTGTAATTAAGGCTATTTATAAGGGGTTAACGTATACATTTTATATAGGCCATCAAAAGTGTATAACCTTGTCTGTCTCTTGTAGCTATTAAATGTATTTTTACAACATGCGAGAATGCATTACCTTATATAGGCCTACTAATGAAAAAGCATTAAATTATTAAACATTTATCTTAGTCTGTCAAAAAAATTAGTAGAATATTTTCAATTAAATTGAATATTTAAATGGTTTTCAGGATCCCAACCAAAACAAAACAAATTTCTTTTTGGACACACCTCCAAAGGGATTATTGTATAAAATTGTCAATTTAACTGTCAATGAAATTTTTACTATTCAAGATTATATACTTGACAATGTATATTACATTTCTGTCTCTAATTGCAATAAAGGATTATTATTCTTATCTAAGCCAATGTATATTTTATTGGCTTTATCCTGTTTAGTGCCTAACGGTGTGTCTAGAGTGCAAGCCGATTAAGATTCTCTGCCGCAGGAATGGCATTTACATTTAAACAGAATGGGCCATAAGTGGCTGCCGGTAGCCGAGCCCACAAGCAGGCACCTGCTTACTGGAATGAGTTCTTCATTCTGGTTTCAGATTCAGATAGTTCTCGTACGCATACTACTTAATTAAATACAATTGGTTTTTATAGTAAAATATTTATTTTGTCATCCTTACCTTAGGGTTACCACTAAACGCTCTTTGGGAAAAATGCTTTGCTTATGTAGGTCGTTTATTGAGGATTTTTTAAATAGGCCTAATCGCAATTTAAAACTAAATGAAAATAAAACTAAATGTGTCACATTCAAAACAAAACAAAAACAATTCCATTCTAATATTGAAGTAAAAAACCAACCAATTGAAATAACAGAACCGTAAATAATAACCGTAAGGTTCCTTGACCTGACATTCTACAGTAACTTGTGTTTGGACCAACATTCTAAACTTGTTTTAAATGAAATAACCTCCGGTCTCTTTTTGGATTTTAAAAATGTCTAAACTATGCAGTATTGAAGTTTTAAAAATGATTTAATTTTCCCATATTCAATCTCATACATCTTATGGCATATGTGTATATGGAGCCACCTCAAAATCAAATCTAGACAAAACTTTGACGATACAGAAGAATTTGATCAGAGCTTTGTTAAAAATGAACAACGATGATTCTGCAAAAGAACACTAAACATTTAAGAACCCTCTCTGTTTATGGTTTATATGTTCTTGACTGTATTATGTTTGTAAAAAAGAATTCAATCCACCAATTAAATAAAACAAGCATAACTACAATACATGTAACAAAAAATAACTTGGAAAATGGAATTGCAAATAATAAATTATGGCTCTTAAAAAAAAGACTGTCAATGCAGGATATGAATTTTTTAGTAAATTCCTTTACAAAATTAAAATAACAAAAACCCAAAATTTTTAAAAAACGCCTTAAGAAATATTTGATGTAAGTTGCCTCTCGTTATACTCTGTAGATGAATTGAAAATGGCTTTATCTTAGTATCAAAAACATTAGTTTTTAATTGATTTGACACTATTCATGTACAACCATGTATACTTATGAATACTCAGTTCAGATCCACCCTGAAGACCTGGTTAAAAACAAAAAAATTTTTTTCTATAGAATGTTATTTAAATTTATTCAGCATTGCCTCCAGGATTGATTTAAGACAATATAAAATAGGTTACGTACCTTTACGTCGTCAATCCTAGGTTAGTCTTTTTAGCAGCGACTAGTTTCGAAACTGACGTTTCATTTTCAAGCCTTGTCAAACATAAAATTACTTGAACTTGAATTACTTGAATTTGTGTACTTTGACGACGACATTATGTTCAAGTAATTTTATGTTTGACAAGGCTTGAAAATGAAACGTCAGTTTCGAAACTAGTCGCTGCTAAAAAGACTAACCTAGGATTGACGACGTAAAGGTACGTAACCTATTTTATATTGTTATTTAAATAGGGACGTTAAGTTAGATTAATAATTTAGTAAGACATTTTTTGTTATTTCTTAGTTTTAGTATATCCTGTATATGACTTTATGTCCTGTCAAAAAATGATGTAATGACATGTAGTAAATAAATAAATAAATAAATAAATAAATAAATAAATAAATAGGTACAGATTCTTGACTATGACTAGTTTCTTAGAATACGATGTTCAATTTTAGTAATCAGTTTTGGGCTCCATTCAAATATACAAATAACTGTGCTCAATCAATTTTAGCTATGGTAAAAGAGATATATAGGCCTAATATCATGAACACCATTTTTCACTGGTTGTAACCCCACAACAGTTTCAGATAGTTGTATGTGTTAATTCCTATTCCTAGTCAGTATCAGGCTAACTGAGTCAGTACTGACGGCATATTTCCTACCTCCACTGTGGCTACCAACAACATATCTGACTCGGGTAACCATGTGCTGAAAATCTGAACCTGGATTGGCGTGCATTTTGGATGTACCGCTAGTCTACAAGCAGATGTGGGGAAATATGTTCTTAATCTGCTTCAGTGATTGCAAACTATAATGAGACTTTAAACTTAATCCAGGAGTTTTGGATATATATTTGACTATTTGTTGTAGATGCAAACCGTTTTCATTCTCTTATTAGTGAAACTAAACTTGGGAAGAATTCTGTTTTTTCCGAAAGAACTGATGATTCTTCTGCCGTCCAGTATTTCCAGGTATTTAAACTTTCTTGTTTACATCTAAACCCTTCAGCTGCTAACAAATGTGCCACTTTCTAAACAAGTACACCCAAGTAAAATAACTGCATGCGTGAAACGTCGTTTAAATGGTACCTACATGGTAATGTACAAAACAATCACCCGTTACCTTAACTTTCCTGTTAGGCCTATTTTACTTCTTCCAGGTAATCCTAAAAGAAGGGGTGTGCTAGTAACTTATTTATGGGTCGAGGGTCAAGTCGAGTTTACAAAAAACTCATGATTTTAATTTTTTTTTTTTGTAGTGTACCTATTTGTATGGTGAAGTGACATGCATTATTGCTTCATATTGCTTGAAAATATCAAAATATATCGCCCCAAAACGATAAAATAGGCACTTTATGGTAGGTATGTACAAAACAATTCCAAATAAAGCTAACAATAAACGTTAGTTTCATGTACCGTACAAATATTTGTACTTAGGTACACTTATAGACATTTGGCATACATATTGAATGCTGTTTACATTTATGCTTTAAAACTGCATTAGCATAAATTAATTCAATCAAAAAATGTGTTGTAGTTATTAGTCTTAACCTTTAAACCACATTCTTATAAATCTAAAACAGTATATATTTTATATTAGCCTATTTTATATTAGCCCATACATCCCCTGATTATAGTGCAATGTTTGTTATTAGTGATGCCTGATTCTACTCTCGTACTCTACCCTAGCTGCTGTCTTCACTCAAACATAAAATTTTGCAATATTCTACGTATGAACAAAAGCACGGGATTATTGTTTGACTTAACAAACTTATTTTCCGATGCTGTAAAAGGAACTGTTTGTTGGCTAAGTCTACTATTTAACCAAACAAAATTGATCCATGTCGTTTTTTTTTTTTGGAAAGTAAAACAGTCTACAGTATCCCTGTATCTCAAAAAACAATATCTCTGTTTTGTTTACTTTATGTTTGTTTATACAGTATGTTGTTACTACTTTTCACAATGGCAACAGCAAATAAATTATATTGCGCAGACCAAAAAACTGTTCCACGTCCTAACCTCAAAAATATGCTTTTGTCATTTATTTCTCTCTTCATTTACATTTGAGTCTAGCAGAGTATTTAAATACTCGCTCGAAAACACTTGAGTACTCGCACACCCCTTCCTAAAAGTATTATGAACAGCATTTATTTGGTGTCAATTAGTAATGATTAGGGAGAAATACCTGAAATACTATTTTAATATTTATGCATTTTATCCATAGTATTAGGAACTCTATCCTTATTTTGGAATTTATATCTTGACCTACGATTCATTGAAAAGTATTGCTGTTTCAGGATTGATGAATAATTCTTATGTTATGGTAAAAAAAAATCAAAATCAAACGTTGCTCAATAGATATGAAAAAATAACTGTACAGGAACTTATTTTCTATTTTATTTATTGCTTCTTTTTTAAGTAGGCCTAATCCATAATTTATAAATCTCAGGAACACAATATGCCAAATATGTTTACTTGCAGATGATTAGTTTACACCTCAAATAGAAAGTAATATAGTACTCCCGATCTAAAAGTTTACATTTAGATGTGACAAAGAGATACACCTATGAGAGAGTGTACAACTTGAACTGCACCTAGCTAGATTGAGGCTGCCATATACCTTACTTTCCTGCCTTGCACCTGACTTTTTGATGATTTTTGAAAACAGATTTTATGATTGATTTTTTATGATTCGCAATGAGGGAAATATTATTGTTTTAGTTCTCATTATGATTCATCTTTAGTACAGAATTTGTTATTGTAGCGGCTGCAGGATCCGCACAGTGGGTTGTTTTTGTTTGTTTTGTTTTTCTCGGAAAATAATAAATCTCATACTTTTTTTTTACCTACAATTCGCATACAATTATTTTACTTTTACTTCATGGAGGATATTAATGTCTTTAGCGACAGCTACAGGCACATTGAGTGTACAACAATAGAATACTTAAATGACATAGGATTAGCTTTTAGCAAAGATAAAAGCTTTTTAAACATTTTCTACATGAATATTCGAAGTTACAATAAAAACTTTGAGTTACTTCTTATCTTGCTTCAATCAGTAGTTTTAAAGTTTGATATTATTGCGCTGGGGGAAACGTGGTATGGGGGTGTTGGGGAGGGGATGCATTTAGAGGGGTATAAAATGTTTCGCACTACTAAAGGGAAAAATCAAAATGATGGGGTTTTGATGTATGTGAGTGAGAGAGTGAATGTGTGTGAATGTAATGAACTGGAGCTGGGCGACGTGTACGGGTTGACCTTAGACTATGTTTATCAAGATAAGCGGTGTAATCTGCTATCTGTGTACAGGACTCACGACAGTGACTTGGACAATTTTACTTACGCTCTCGAAAAATACTACGAAAACAAAAACAATCAAAAAACCTATTTTTTAATAGGTGACATCAATGCGAATCTGCTGGAAACTGACAACAAGACAGAGCGTTATTTGGATGTCTTGTATGAATATGGTTTTATGAATGGTATAAATGTACCGACTAGAGAGGTAGGCGATAGTAAGACATCCATTGACCATATTTTTATAAGTCACCACGACTTTACTGCACTACGAACTGCTGTTGCGAGGACTGAGATAACTGACCATTACAGTGTTTGTCTACAGATTAACTTCTCCAACAAAACAGAACATACATTACAGGAACTTCACACCTACATAAACAAAACGGAACTGAGTGCACACATAAAAGAATGCGACTGGACAGACATTGTACAGGCAAATGACACAAATACATGTTCAAATATCATGATTTCAAAAATTCAAGATCTTGTTAGCATGTCAACAAAAACTATTAAAAAACCAAACTCTAAACTCAGGAAATTAAAGCCATGGATCACACATGACCTGGTTATTAAAATTAGAGAAAGAGATAAACTTAGTAAACAGATCAAAAAACAACCTTTTAATACAGTTTTGATTGATAATTTCAAAAGATTAAAAAATGAACTAAATAAAAATATTAGGGAAACCAAAAATAATTATTATAGGGAAAAAATTTTGGGGTATAAAGATAATCCGAAAAAGTTTTGGGGGGTTTTGAATGAATTGGCGGGTAGAAGCACTAAACATGACATTTTCCCACTTTCTCAATTCACATTAAACAAACCATACGCAAACACTGACGACGATTTGAGACCACTGGTGGCCAACGAATTCAACGCCTATTTTACCCAAGTTGGTTCAAACATGGCAGCTAGAATTGATTCGAGTGGTCCACCTGTGGTACACGACTCTGACTATGCTGTTGACTCCGTCCTCACACTGCACACTGTTACTGAACTTGAACTGTACGGCTACGTCACCAGACTGAGAGGAGGCTCAGCTCCAGGGTATGATTGTGTATCAGCTGATTTACTCAAGGACAACTGGGATTCAATAAAACAGCCACTTTTACACATCACTAACATGAGTATCCGGAGGGGAGTTTACCCCGACGCCTACAAAATCGCTAAGGTTGTTCCTCTATTCAAGTCAGGAGACTGCTCTAAGACTTCGAACTTTAGGCCGATCTCATTGCTGAGTGTATTTACCAAGGTTTTGGAAAAAATAATTAAAGACCAGTTAACTAATTACCTTAATCATTATAACATTTTAACTTCACGTCAATTTGGATTTAGGAAATCGAAGAATATCTCTGACGCCTTGTTTGAAGTTAACAAAGATATTAATTTAGCTGTCAATAAAGGAAACAAGGTCGTGCTGGTATTTTTTGATTTAGCTAAAGCCTTCGACTCTGTCGACAGATCAATACTATTAAAGAAAATGGAGTTAATTGGAATAAAAAACATTTCATTAGCATGGTTTAAATCATATTTTTTAGATAGAAAACAATTTGTAGTCATAAATGGAGTTCAGAGCAATTTAGCTGAAGTAGACTATGGTGTAGTTCAAGGAAGTACCCTTGGTCCTTTATTATTTCTAATATATATAAATAATCTAGTTAAAATCGACATTGAAGGGAAGTTTTATCTCTTCGCAGATGACACTCTAGTATTATTTGAAGGTAAAGACTGGGAAACAGTTTTCAACCTCGCAGAAAGAGGTATTTCAAAAATTAAAAAATGGTTTGATCAAAATGTTTTGACACTCAATGTAGATAAAACTAAATTCATGCCAATCGCTTTTAGTCATCGTGGTGACACACTCATCAATGAGTTAAAAATTCATTCTTGTCCAAATTTTGATCCGGCTTGTGACTGTCCAGTGATAGATAGAGTGCAAAAATATAAATACCTTGGCGTAATTATTGATTATAAACTTTCATGGGCAGATCACGTATCATATCTAAATAATAAACTAAGAAAATATATCTATGCTTTTAACCAGTTACAGCAGATTTTGGAGTTTGAAGAAATCAGAATTGCATATTTTGCTTACGTGCAGTCCCTACTTGACGGAGGAATAATAGCCTGGGGCTGTGCATATGGTTATATTTTAAAGCCATTAATTATCACCCAAAAAGCGATAATAAAAGCAGCCTTAGGCAGGAATCGGCGCTACCCTTCGGATGCTCTCTTCAATGAAATGAACGTTCTTGACATCAGACAATTATTTATTCGAACCATGACTATTTACATATTCAAACACTCGAATGAAATTTTTGAAAGAGTAACACACGAATACAGAACCAGACATGCACTAGGTGGAGGAATTTATTTACCGAGACTAAATAGAACTTACTCTACAACAAATTGCTACTATGTTGCTCACATTATCTACAACAATCTGCCCTACAACTTACGCGAAAACTATTTTGGACCACTGGTCAAATACAAAAAACAAATTACCCTATGGCTACAAAGCATTGGGAGATCAACTGCTCAAAATTTACTGATCTCAACCTACAGACAATGAACAACCTACAGGCAACAAATTTACACTCACATCAGCTGATAGAGTGAAAGAACGATTGTATGCAAGCACGTATGTGAGCTGTTCCCGATTCTGCGCCACAGGGACAGAGCATTGACAGCCCTAGGGCTACCAGCCGCCTGTTGGTGTCGGAGTGAGTGCAGCAGTGTGGTGAGTGTGCGTGTGCCTGTGTGTGTGTGTGTGTGTGTGTGTGTGTGTGGGTGTGCGCGCGCGTGTTCGGTGTGCTTGGGAAGTACAGTAGCAGGTTATCTTTTGGGGGTAGGGTAGGGGGGAGGTGGGGGGGCACCATTCGCTCAGTCCTCCAGCGCAACTTTCAACTTTTAACTTGTTCAAATTTCCTTTTTTCATAATTTAAAAAAAAAATCTCTAATAATATAACGACTCTCTCCCACTCACAGGATTAAATTATCTTTTGTGGGGGATAATTTCGCTTGATTTTAAAAAGCTTTTATAGAAAATTAAATATAACCTAGAAAAATAAATAATATTGTAAATATTTTTGTACAGGGATCATAATATTATGTTATGTCTGTTTTTTGCGAAATAAATGATATTTTGATTTTGATTTTGATTTTTTTGACTTTCTCTATGCATCTATTCAGCACTCATCCAAATACTGTACCCTCAACTTGATCATATCCTTTCTCAGCCTCAAATTTTAAATATTTTTAATATTAGGGAATGAATCAACTAAGCCTGTCAATAAATAATATGTTTATAGTTTTTTAATTCAAATAAACTTATTGCACTAAGCTACCAGTACTCATTATTTAAGTACTCTGCTAACCAAGCTGCATTATGATTTCAGTTTTATGGATATCTATCACAACAACAGAACATGTTACAAGATTACGTCCGAACTAGCACGTACCAGAGGGCAGTACTCGCCAACTCGGACGACTTTAGGGATAAGGTAGTCTTAGATGTCGGGGCAGGTTCAGGCATCCTGTCCTTCTTTGCTGTGCAAGCAGGAGCCAAGAGGGTATATGCTGTGGAGGCAAGCTCAATGGCTCTTCATGCAGAGGTAATAGCTGTTTGATATTACAAAAAGAGAACAATTAATTAGTTTTTTTTTTTTACCGAATTTCCCTATAAGGAAGTAGTTGTTACCGTACGTGGCACGGTAAGACCAAGTTCCAGAACCGATTTACTTTTTCATTTTGATGTCCCCAGAGACCAACAATCATATTTTCAAATTCATATGTTTATATATACAGTGTGGTTGAAAAGTCCCGGAACTGTGTAATATATTTTTTACCAATATAGATAAAGTAATCAATAATAGTATCAATAATAGTTGGTATATCAATAATAGTCATAATTTTGTACTCTTTTAAGCTATTATCACTTTTTTATCCTTTTAGGGGACTGTGACTGCCTATTTTATATAATGTTAACTATTTGCTATATATATAGAGAGAACTATAAAAGATAGAGCCTTATTTTTTTATTTATTTTAAAGGTCAAATGTTTGTCTAGTTCCTCATAGGAGGTTTTAAAAATATATTTACTTTAAGTGTTCTTTTTGGAACTTTAAAAGATTAACTATTTTTTTCATAGAAAATTTGTAATTAAAAATTGTTTATAAAAACTTGTGGGTTGCATCAATCAAAATATTTCTGGTAGGAACTAGGCCAGTATGTTATGTATAAAATATGTGGTAAAAATTTGGATACTCTAAGTCTAAAGATAGGTGAGAAAAGTAACATCAAAGTTATGGAAAACTAACATTCATAGTGAATGATTAAAAGTAGTCCCAGTCGTACTGTAATCCACTGAATTTTTTTCAAATTTTATATAATTTTTTCAGTCACAGTCCCCTTAAGGGGGACAGCCCATGCGGAGTCAGACAAAATTCTTAAATAGCAGCATAGGTCGAGTTTGGTTGCAAATTAAAGTTCTTTATTAGTAGTTCTAATTAACAACTGGGTAAAAATGGCAATCGTTCAAAGATTATAATGGCAGATTCAAGAAATAATTTGAACAGCTGCCATTTTTGACTCGGTTGTCTGTTTGAGTCCAGATTTGCGGCAATGTATTTTACTAAATAAGACCTGGCAAAAGGAAAGTTGCTTAGTCTGCAGATTTGCTGCGGTGGAGGTAAATGATGTTTTATGAATAATTGGTGTATGCAATAAACTTGGTGTACCGTGGTCCCTTGGTAATCTGGTAGGTAAGGGGCCAGTTGGATGTTTTATCATCCATATTTTTTTTTCTTTTAATGCAGTTGACCAAGTTAACATATCACAATTATTTTATAATGCTGTCAATATTACCAGGCATTTGGGGCAGTACAACATCACAATATCAAAAAGTACATTTAGTTCAAAACTATGCTACACAGTGACGCTACTTACAAGATGCAAGATTCAAAGCATAGATTGACAAAACATTGTATTTACTATGTTGTCAATAATTTTGTTCTTGTGGAGTAAACCATTACCAGCTCCTCGTCAAACGAGGTTTACTTGAATCTTGTCTGCATTTGTGTTGTAAGCAGATGTGTCGGTACCTCAATAAGAAGATCCTCAATAACAAGTGGTGCTAGAAAGCAAGTTTCATTTTCAAATACCCTTGATTTTATATTGCCCTTAAATGCATGTAACTGCAAACCTCTATAAAGAGTCAACCTTGCTTGATAACAAGTCATATTTCATCATCCCCATAAGAGTCTTCTTATCAAGGTTATACTGTATTATCAACACAAACATAAGATTCAACTGGATGATAGTAAATTTAATTATGTGCACACACTTAAGTGGGCTCGGGACCGCAGCGACATTGTCCGCTACTTATCAGATTATAAAAGAATTTAAAAGAAATAAGGAAGGAATGTTTAGTAAAATAAATGTAAACATAGTTATACCAGATGCTCAAGATTTATATTCCTATGCGAGGGAAGTACAGAGTAAATATCTGCCATTGTAGGACAAACTTCAACTTCACTTGTCTATGGCAAATGATGATTAAAATTGTACAAAAATCTTTATTCGATCCTTACTAATATATACAATTTTCTCTTTTAATTTGGCATTCTTAAGTCCCGCCTGTGGCAACATTATCATAGAAATGACCCGTTGGGGAAGCAAGCTGGTCTAGTGGTAGAGTGCAGGACATCGGTCCCCGAGGTCTCGAGTTAAGAACAATCTGACCTAAGTAATAATGTTGTGACCCTCTAGGACTAGCCTGAAGTTATCTTCAGGCTATTCCTAGAGGGTCACAACATCATTACTTTACACATTAGTCATCGTTTTAATCATCGTTTTACACATTAGTATTAGTGTAAAACGGTCTTAGAGTAAAGCCTAGGGTTTCTAGGATATGAATGTGAGACAGAAATAAACATCTAAGTAAAGCATATACACATAGCCTAATGCAAAAATTAGTCTAATGTTATTTTAGAAAATATTATTTACTTGTAATTTCTTAAATATGTTATGTCAATGGATATAATATAACCTGATTTATGTTAAATAAAACCAAAGTATTCATTAAAAAAATTAAATAAAGCATTTCTGTGATTTATTAAAATAACATTTGCATTCTAAGGTACTCTCTTTTTTACAATAATTAGCCTATCTCTTTAAAACTGTGAAGAACTGTTACAGTATTTCTTGACTAAATATACAGTACTTTTTTTAAAACTTGCCGCTCATATCACTTTAATGACCTACCATTACTTTAAGATTACAATTCTTAGTTACTAAAAAAGTTACTAAAAAAAGTTTTTTGTTGTGGCAGCTGACTGTTGGATATTACAGGTTTTATAGTCCACCAAAAGAAGTTGCCATTTGTTAAGTATTTTCTGGCATTTATGTGTTTTGAGAGCCTATCTAATTGTATAAAGTGTTTTTATTAAATAATGTAAATGTAACTATCTAATTATTAAATTAACTATCTAATTGATAAATATAAAACTAATAGATTAGGTAAAAAAGATAACCATTTGCCATTTGCCATTTCAAGGGGATAAAATCATAGTGTAGTTTCTCTTGATATACATTGGCTTAATGTGTAATTTATGTACACACTCAAACCCATTACCTACTTATTTACTCGAATTTGATAAAATTGGGATTGTTATAAATTGCCATTCAGCTAACTGTTATTGATGTAGTTTTTATCGAAAGTTGATTTATATTACTTAGGTAGTGTTAAAAATATTTACCAAAGTGATATTTATAGGTTGGTGCCACTTGGTAAGACATCAAGGAAATATGTTAATAACATTATTTGTATGTGTATTTTTTAGAGGTTGGTCATGCTCACTGAAGTAAACAAATGATCTTTAACTCTCTTAAAATTGTGTGTCTACAATATTGACAGGGAGTGATGATATAAAAATCAATAGCTCTTTACACCCTTTGTCTTGTTTTTGGGGTGGTACCATCCATTCAAATTCATATATATATATATATGTCCGTTAGCACAAAAACTCAAGCAAAAATTATCGGATTTTGATGAAATTTGGTGTAAACCTACATTTATTTGAACAACCAGCATGATTGGACTATAGGAATGCGGGTTTATAAGGGATTTTATGGGGTAGAAATGGGGTTTTCCTATTTTTTACCCTAAAACATACAATTTTGCAATTTGTTTCCTAACCATTTTGTAGAGCTCAGAAAAACAAATAATTAATTTAGTATGATGAAGCGTTATTGTATGACTAATGGTAAAAAAAAAATTACAAAAAAGTATTAATTTTAAATTTAAATTCAAATTCAAAATAAAACACCTTAATTATTATCTTCAATGTAGCAGCAAACCTAAGTACTCATTAAAATTAATTATATTTAAATAGGAATTAAATCTGACAATTTTAAGGGAATAACTTAGTTGAATTCCAGCCAAGTAAATGGAAATTAGTCTTCTTATTCCTTTTTTCAGTTTGCCATTTCCCCCAAATTTAAGGTCCAATTTTAGAGTTGTAGTCCAGTGGATTAAAAGAAGGCACAGTTTTTTGATTTAGCAGAATTTCAGAGCTAGGGTCTTCATTCATAGGTTTGGAGCCAATCAGCTGTCCTAGGATGATCAGTAGGTTTGCTTTGGTTTTGAAAAATATTCACACAATTTAAACAGTTTTTTTAGGACTCCCGCAAAAGAGGCGACTTATTACCGACATTTATTTGTAGTTTGAAATTTCAAGTTTTTAAAATCGAGAAGTGTGGTTGGAGGCTACTTCAGATTCTGAACTACTGTTACCATAGTGGTAGTGCCATTCTGCCAGTTTGCCTTCTTGTTTATTGCCATTCTACTTGCCTAAGACAGTATTTTTTTCTCTTACAGTTATGGCAGTGTACACACTGGTGTTTTATATTTCATGTCTTTAGACATTTGTCTTGTCATCTGAAATTCAATGAGACACTTTTGCTCAATAACTCTTATCCCTACCATCTTGTGTCTGATGATACTGTAGTCAGTTTAGTGCAATAACGGAGCATGACAATTTATTGTTATTGCTTTTGCTAGTATTATTTACTATAACAAAATTGCGGACAATTATGGTGGAAAATTGCCTCTTGCACTCATGTCAGCTTGCCTCCAAGTATATTAGCGCCAAGGTGCCACCACATCGACCGATTCAGATCGTGGTGTTAACTGAATGATACCTTGATGCATTATCAAAGTGATCACTTTTTATACTCTTAAATGATAGCTTAGGGTGTATGTTGTATAAGATTTATGGTAAAATTTCATTGACTAGTATTTTAATTTTAACACTAATACCGAAACCCCGGTCTGATAGGCCCACGGGAATTTTCAAAAACGCATGTTGGCAACACTGTTTACTTGGGAAATTCCATTCCCCCAATACCTTCCCCCCTTTTCCTCCCCTACCTATTGATATATTGTTTGTTCATTTTGCATGGGTACCGTGACCTTGACAGGTTGTTTGTTCATAACATGCCCGTCTCAGAAGCCCATCGTCAGTATATTTTAAAGCGGGATCTCACAGGCCGAGGGTTTCGGTTTGTGTGTGTCTAAGCGGGGTCCATTATTTTTCAAACGTGGTCTCACAGACCGGGGGTTTCGGTTAACGTCAGCCTAGGTAGGATTTTGGTATTAGTGTTAACGATCTTTATTTCTATTAAACTTTATAAGTGTAATAAGTATGCATAACCTTATCATTATTGTCATAAATTAATCTATTTTACTTTTTTTCACTTACAGACGTTAGTGGCGTCCAACAACTTAAAAGACAAAATTCATGTGATAGCGGGTAAAATCGAGGAAGTGGAATTACCAGAAATGGTTGATGTCATAATTTCAGAACCAATGGGGTACATGTTGTACAACGAAAGGATGTTAGAAACATACTTACATGCAAAGAAATGGCTCAAACCTAATGGTAAGTTCCTGTCTTTATTTGGACTGTACAGCTCTGTTGCACTAATATACATATTGGAGCTTAGAACTTAGACTTAAATCAGAATACAGTACTAAGATAGGAATTATAATTGCATGACTGTTATAGTTGGGCGCCTAGGCAATATTTTGTACTAGGGATGTGTCGATTCTCAATACCGATTGTTGATACCACCGATACTTTGGTATCATTATTTACATTGGTATCGTTAATTGACAATCGATCGTCAAAAGTTGATACCTAAACCCAACTTGTCTGCAAAGATCACACGCTCGGAAATTTACTGCTATTGCTTCGATTGCGCAAGACGACGATAATCGTGGCCAAATCCTGAATATCACTCTGCGGTAACGGAAACACCATCATCGTCTTCCGTGGTCACAGATATATTATCAACAACCCCAACGATCACTGCAAAATCACGAATATCCCTCACGTTCATGTAGACATTATAATCGTCTTAAGCGATAGCGGCAAAATTCTGATCATCTCCGGCGCTCGTGTGGACATCATTGTCATCTTCACGGTGGTTCTGTGACTGCGGGAGACAGTGATGATGTCTACATATCCACGTGAGTTGATCAGAAATTATTTGAGATTATCAGAATGGTATCGGTATCTAAAATCGATACATTTTGGTATCAAAACATCACTATCTTTTTAGATAATACTATAGGTTAGCTTAACTTTAGGTATAATAATAATATTAAATGTATTTTTTCTCAAATATCATATTTCTTCCTTCTATCATATGAAATTATTCGGTGGCTCAGTCGGTAGTTGGGACGGACAACAAATCCATGGTAGGGATGTCATGGGTTTGCCTCATGGTTTCTGCCACTAATATTCATCAGTTCAATTCCCCCTAGTACTGTACCAGCTCAACCTTGCTTTGCTGGACATGTTCCACGCACAGGCCCGAGGGCTATGTGGACTAAGTGGACAGGAAAATTCAAGGTTAAATGTAAGTTTAAGGCTGCCAACCTCTTGGAAAATACCAGTTATAAATAAAAGTAGCTAGAGATTTGGTATTAATATTTGAGGCCTTAACAACATTTTCCAATTCACTGTTAAGTTTCATTCATACATCTACAATCATGAATGGCTTATCTTTAACTTATGTCATAATATTTTTATGTAGTCCAGTCAGAATTAATATCTATGTCCAATGGTTAAATGCTGGGGTACTCATGATTTCGACAAATCATATTGCATTTGATCTGTAACCACTGTGACAAATGGCAACACTGCCATTGCGCAAGACTACTATTTCAAATTTAAAGTTAACGGGTAACATTTAATTGGCTTATTTATTGATGGATGAGACTACATGGCTACACGACAAACAGCCAAGCCTTCATTCAGTAAACCAAAAAAGGTATTTTATTTGATATTGTTTGTATGTTCGGTGGTTCGTACTTAATTTTGTTTTTGTCTTTCTCTTACTCCAACGAGGTGAGAAAGTTTTAATGTAGCTAAGCATTGTCCGTCGTCTGTCTAGATTCTTCAAAATTGAAGAATGGGCCGGGCCTTTTTTTGTCAGATTTCTTAAATAAAATTTACATTTTGATGTGAATAATTAAACTTCTTTTGTCTGTAAAATTGAAAGTGGATTAGTTTATTACAAGACTGTAGAAGTAGGCCTACCTAACTTAAGTTGTTTTTATAGACTAATTTGTGATAAATTCTTGATGATGGCTTCCCAAGTTTGGAAGTATTTTAAAACTGATAAAGCAAACAACAGATTTGCAAAATAACGCCCCACAATACCGGTACAGGCACTAGGCCTACAAAAAAACCATCACAGTCACGAAACTAAGCCTTTTTTAAATTTTTTTTTAACAAGCCTGCAACATAAACTGTAACCTCAAATGAATATGTACTTAGGCCTATTTTCGAAAAAGTTATCTTTAAAACGACCTTTCCTTTTGTTCTAAATATAAATATCTCTTAATAATGGAGTTTAAAATTAACTTCATGCAGGCTATATTAGGTACAAAATGACTTCTAAAATATTTATCTAGAACTTAACAGACAGTTAACTTAGTTTAACACATTTCCAGAGCCCCTTCTTTCCAAGGTTAGTAGCCTAAGTAAAATTTATTGGTTTATCAGTGAATCATTTCCAGTGTTGGGAAGTAGCGCGCTACAAGTAGCGACGCTACAGTAGCGCGCTACTTTTTTTGTAGCGTTAGCTGTAGCTACGCTACTTTTAAGATTTTGTAGCTTTAGCTGTAGCTAGCTACATTTTTAAAGTAGTTGTAGCGGAATTTTAGTTACTTTTCTCGCTACATTAACATTGTTTGAGATAGTGATTTTTATCATAACCTCAACCTTACGTGAAACAACCTCTTTCAATATCAAACTGAGATTTTCAAAAAATTAGGCCTACTTTCTTGGCTTCATACAGCTGGTTGCAGCCTTCATTCCCTATTACAACGTTGTGTGGACATGGAGGCCATTAAATGAGTGTTATCTGAATTTTTGGCTCTCATTTCCAATTTACTACTCTATGATTACTGTCAGATAAAATAAAACCGCTAGATGCAGACGACGTTTAAACGTTACCGGTGACAAGAGAAGCTATTGAATGCTTGCAAGTGGTTGGCAGGGAAATTAGTAATCAATTTAGTTTCTTTATTATATCGATAGTGTTTTAACTTGGGTTTTAATGGACACCAACACTAAACCTTAAAATAATGAGAAAGCTGGTCTATCAACCTTTGATTCAGCTGTTGATTGTGGTTCATCATCACAAGCCCTTCCTTGGTTAGATTACGAATATTTTTCAAATGTTTACTAAATTAACAAAGAGGAAATTACCTGATGAGATTTAAGATATGCCTAGACTACATGATAATTGTAACAAAAAAAATCTCCATATAACATGAAACTTACATTGAAAAAATAGCATAGTTTGCTCCTGCTAACAGCTCTTGTATCTAGGACTATTCCTAGGCTATGCTATGTTTTAAGACGAATACAAAGTTCCAAGTTCAATTATTAGGAATATATCTGTTTAGTCCTTGCAAGAACAAGCCTACTATAGCCAACTTGTTACATAGCCAAGTAGGCCTACATGTTATTTTTACTTTACAAAATTGTCAACATGTTTAAATTAAAAGCCGATTTCAGGATAAGTTGCTGAATACTGTTTTCTGCACCAACTAGGTTGAAGCACAATTTGCCCTATGCATAATGACAATAAAGGACGATTTCTTGACATAGAAAAGTGTTATTCATAGAACAAGTAACTTATCACTATGGTTAAAAGTTACAACAATGTCGTTTTTAACATTAAAAATAAAGAAATGCGATAAACTCCAATTTCAGTAGGCTAGGCTCTGTAGCACAAAAAAAGTATTTTAAATAATCGTTTTACAGTTTTATTGGTCTTAATTGTTGATTATGAGTTGGAAATAACCTTTTTATGTCATGTTGGATTAACTGTGGTTATCAGTTATCTGTGGTCTGTTCAAAATACAGTTTTACTACGTTTTTATGTCAATAAACACGGTCCTCTGGTAATCCGACCTTTTTGCTGTTCTGACCATGCTCCCCGTCCCGTGGGTGACGGATTAGCAAGGTTCTGCTGTACCATCTAAAGTAAGTGTCAACAACAATTTAAAAGAATATAAAAGGAAAAAAAAATTTGAATTAATCTTAATTAATCTTTATAGGTATAATGTTCCCCAGTAGAGGAGATTTACACATAGCTCCTTTCATGGACGACTCCTTGTTTATGGAACAGACTAACAAAGCTAACTTTTGGTAAGTTCATTAGTTTATTCTTTGTTTGAAGTTCATTGTTGGTGATGGTGAGTTAATGTTGTTCAAAGGTTTATTGCAGATATTTTCCATCACGAATGTAAAAAACAATACACAACGTTTCGGGATCTGGAATTTGATCCCCTCTGTACCTGCTACCCTCTGTAGTGTATTCCAACTTAGGTCGGGTGTTTGTGTATTGTTAGTTGTAATGTGTTAGTTAAGTTTTTTTCACCTGAGGACGGGATCAGATTCCAGATCCCGAAACGTTGTGTATTGTTTTTTACATTCGTGATGGAAAATGTCCGCAATAAACCTTTGAACACAACATTAGTTTATATTTGGTCGAGTGTGAGAGAGCGATGACGAGGTCTTTGTGTAAGACAAGCGATGACAGCGCGATATCGAGACCAGTACTTGCTTCTTGACCTTGACCGTGGTGGCAGGACATTGCTGACTGATAAGGCTGACATTGGACTTGTGTCGAGGCTCATTAAGGCTAGAGCTCAGTTGATTGATTTAAATTATAAACCATGGAACGATGGAAGTGGGCTTTGCTCCCTTTGTAATTTAAATAAAGCTGAAACAGTATTTCATTTTGTGGCAGGATGTCCAATTTTTTTAAAACATTAATTAGATTTAAATGGTTAGGTAGACATTTCTTGGCTCAAGCTGAGTTTATTTCATATTTAAATGGGGAGGATTGGAGTTTTTTTTTTTTTTTTGGTAAATTTTTAATGGAGGCTTGGTATTATAGATGGGATTTAATCCAAAAATTTAATTTTGAATAGGACTCTCTGCAATGTAGATACCATAGTTAGACGTTACTTTATTTAATTGCTTTTTCCTTTAAAAAATTGTTTTTGTAAATGAGGTTAAAAGTGTAAATGATTTTGTCTTTGTTATTTTACATTACTGTATAGTTAGAATTGTTTTGTTAATGAGAATGTATTTATGTTGCCAATCAAACAGACGGTCAACATTGACCATTGTTTAATAAGTGTTAGGTTTTGTTTAGCAGTATGTTATTTTTATTTTTATGTTAACTTTAGTGTTGTGTATGTGGTACATATGGAGGTCTACTATTATGTAATTTGAACAATAAAGCACTTTTTTCATTTCATTAGTTTATACCAATGTATTTTTTTTATATTAATTAATCAACTTATTTATCGAGCCATCAACAAACAAACAGCAACAAGCAGAAGCAAACAAACAAGCAGAATATACAAGATAAGCCTAGTCATGAGAAAAGTTATATTGCTAGTGGAAGTCTTTTATAATTATAACATTTTTACAACAAGGGTTGTCTTACTAGTAAATGCTCATTTTCTTCTGAAAGAGATTTTCTGGAAGGATTTTAAAAAACACTGTTAACTATTGAACATATTTTAACCACTCACCAAAACGGTTTAGAGACTTATTATGAATAATTTTTATCATTAATAATTAATAATAGTTTTGTAGTTGGTAAAACACTTTGTTTTAAATAGGGAACATACCTGATGCCATGAAGGATTATTTCTGCCAGCCCATTGTTAACACTTAAGTTAATGTTTGACAGTGTACAGATGTGTTTCCATGGAGTAGATCTTAGTTCTACATGAGGGTTGCTGCCATGAAGGAGTATCTCCACCAGCCCATTGTTAACACTTACACAATGTTTGACAGGGTACAGACCTGTTTCCATGGAGTAGATCTCAGTTCTATGAGGGATGCTGCCATGAAGGAGTATTTCCGCCAGCCCATTGTTGACACTTTTGACATGCGAATATGCATGGCAAAGTCTGTAAGACACAGTGTTGACTTTAGTGATGCCCACGAATCCGATCTCCATAGAATAGGTAAGAGTAAAGTGGCATACAAAATAGGCTATTGTAACACCTATATAATTATTGGACCTACTTCCTTGTTGATAGGAAAGGAACCATGACACTCTTACTCTTAAATAATGGTTCAGCATTTTAACTCTTGATTTGTTATCATTTTATAATCACGATTAGTGAAAGCAAGTTTTCATAGCATTTTGGATAAGAAAATCTGATAATTTTATGATAATAGCTAATCTCACTTTGCAGAAATCCCTCTTGAATTCTACATGTTGGAGTCAGGCACAGTTCATGGACTAGCTTTCTGGTTTGATGTTGCATTCTCTGGAAGTAGTCAGACCATCTGGCTGTCTACTGCTCCTACAGAGTCATTGACCCACTGGTATCAAGTACGATGTCTGCTGGAGAATCCCATCTTTGCCAAGGCGGGTCAACTCCTTACAGGAAAAGTTATTCTTCAAGCTAACCAGAGGTCGAGTATCAGAAAACAATTAAATTATGATTTCCTTTAGACCTAGGTACAACATTGCTAAGTTAAACCCTGCACATAGCTTGATGTATAGCTGGGTACCTACCAAAAACATAATTCCTTATGAAATGAGCATTTGCACGGCCATTTTTTAACTCCCTAGCCTATTTTTGCGCTTCAACTCTATCTTTGCATCAGGGTCATAATCTCCAGTCATCTGGTGATGAATGTCAGCTTCAGATATGTTTCTTGTAATCAAAAAACATATCACTGACCTAACCTCGAACGTGGCGGGAGATTTGATTACAGTTCAAACAGTTTTAAAAACACCCGGCGAAAATAAACACTTACATCAATGGATTTTTTTCATTTGTTACTTTTAAAATATACCGTAACGTTTAACGTTCTCTGCTCTCTGTTTATCACAAAATAAAAAGATAAAAAACTCATCAAGTTTGATTCCAGTTGCTAAGCCATTTTAGTCCTGCTCGACAGGAACTGCTTTCTCTAGCTTATCGTCTCAAGAGCCATCAAAGAACAGTAGTCATTTTGGTCAAATATTGATTGTTTTATACTTTTACCTGGTCCTTCAGATACCTGATAGATTGTGCACCATATCAACTAAAGTAGTGATTAAGTTAAGCCCAATACTATGTGTGAACTGAATAAATTGACAACAAGGTGATACTGCTAAAGCAGTGAATCTGACATTGGATATGATACAAAATTTAAAATGTGTTTTTTATTGCAGACAGAGTTACGATGTGACAATGGATCTCTGTATTGAGGGGAATGAACAGACTCGATCAGTAAACACTCTAGACTTAAAGAATCCGTACTTTAGATATACTGGGCAGCCTGTAGCACCTCCTCCTGGTATGAGTACGACCTCACCATCCGAGGCCTACTGGACACAGCTGGATGCACAAGGTGCTCGACAAGGTACCTCTTCCACCTGGTTAAAAAATATTTGGGATGGATAGGATTGTATTATTGGTTACGTGCCAAGACAGAATTTTATTCTCAGGATAGTAATCCTCCTGACTTTTCTTCCTTTGTAAAAAAGAAAAAAAAACTCTTATGTTTGCTTTAAAAATCTTGAGTAAAATTTCTTGAAAATGGCATCAATGACAAACAAATTTATATTTAATCTTTATAGCACTGTTCTTTGTCATTTTGACTAATCCGTGATTGCAGCAATTTCATTATTATTTCTCCTAGAGCAGAAACATCATCATCGTCATCCTTAATAGCGGGAGTTTGCGGAGAACACATCAGCATGACTCGCGATCACTGTGAAATTCCTGACAGTCGGAGCATATGTGAAATTCCTGACAGTCGGAGCATATAACGTCTTGAGAAAATCCTGTATTGATTGTAATCCCGCCCTAAGATCGAGAATAAATTTGCCCTATAAATTTATCAAAATTTCAGGACTTGTTCATCCTAAAAAAAAACTAGTGCGGATATCCGAAAAATCGGGTCGGATTCCGTTCGGTTCGGATATCCGTATCCGAACCGAGCCCAAATTTGATATCCGACACTATTTGTTATATATCTGACTTTTTCGGATAGACAACATATTTTGACGTTTTGAACAGAAAACTAAATCTTCATAACCATCATTAGTTTCTCAGGACAAAATTACAGCGACGACAAAGAAGCCGTATGATGCAATACCGATATCTAGTTTAGTCGTTATCAGCTGTTTTGCTTTACGATTAGATTCATCTGGAACGAACAGACATAAAGCAGAAAAGAACTACAATGGTCAAAAATTAAAGCCAACTCGTGCTTGTCTCCTGATACTAGGGGCGCTGGTAATAGTTTTTTTACAGTACTGTTTTAAAGTATAAAAATCTAGCCTACTTCTGTGCTGTTACGTAAACAATAGATTTAATGTTTCCAGAAAAAAAGTCAGAATAGAAACAATAGAAAGGCAACACAATAGAAGGGTGTGAGGGGTTGGGCAATGACCTCGAAAGGAGCGCGAGTAGCAACAGTGAGTCGAGTAGGACGGGAGGGAGGAAGGGGTGTGTACGACCTTGAAGCTATATAATTATAGACTTGCACTACTTCTCTAAACCTAAAGGACTGGCGAATGGTAATCCAATCACAGGACAAGATACGTTGTTTTTTGGGAATTCATTGCCCGATTTGACTTTGGATTGTCTTATTGTGTAGAAACTTTGGATAATCAAAAATTAAATTAGAACTAACCACGATTATTTAGCATTGATTGTGTAATGAATGATTAAATGATAGGGACCAGGGAAAACATACAAACTTTTGTCATTATTTGAATTTCAACATCAAAATACAATATTGCACAATCATGATATTCTAGGCCATTGACCTTTAATAAACCTATAAACAAAATCATAAAATCTTACATAAAGATAATAACAATAACAGCAATTGTAAAAAGGGTATAAAGTTAACAACGTCATTATACTTTCTCTTCGTTCTTCTATTTCTTGGGGTTTCCTTCATCACGCATTCAACAAGTTGCCTAGTTGCCATAGATAAAGATAAAGATATAGATAAGATAAGATAAGAAGATAAGAAAGATAAAGATAAGATAAAATAGAACCATTCTTTTCTAATGCAGTATTAATAACTTAATAACATAAAACTGAAAACTTCATAACTGATGCTGAATTTGGGGACAGCATAAAAAGACATGGTGACAAAAAGTGCCAAAGAGTACTTATTTGTAGGCCACACAATGACGATACAAACATTGCTGTCTAATAAGACAAGTTACAAACTCCAGGAAATGTTATTTTTTAGTAAAGAGTACATAAAGAGCACTAACAAATGCAACCATTTAATATATTTCATGTGGCTAACACTAGTTTTTTATCCTTAATTTATTAGCTATATGGGCTAAGAAAGTAAGGTACTGTGCTCATATCCAATAATCTGGACTTATATTTAAATGTTAAAGGTTGAATTTAACATGTGTTGATATTTACAGCTGTCAATATGGTCAATGGCATATCAGTCAATGGCTTAGGCGAAGTTCAAATGGAAGCTACTCAGAACCATACCAACCTCGTAGGCCTAGGTAATCTCAAGCTAGTTATGGATAATAGTTTATTTGGTGATGTTTCTTAATATTCTTATGTGGGTGAAAAAATTTTACTTTGTTATTTAATGTTAAACTACCAAAAATTGACATCTAATCATTATAGTGTACGTATGAATTAAATAGTCCCAGTAACTAAAATTACCACACCATAGGTTGTAGTCCAGTGCAATTAACATTTGAGTATGAAAATTTAAAACAAGTTGAAACCTGTTGGAAGTAATTCATTAAGGTCTCCTGAACCCACAGAAGAAAGTCCCAGAAAATCCCATGGGGACTTTTCCGCCATTTTGAAAAAGTCGACTATTTTGGATCTATGCTAGCGTTTACGGAAATGGGTGTTACTACTTGTAAACTAGTTGACTTAAAAACCTCCTTTTTGTATAAAAATGTCTTGTAAACTCCAGGATGAATATTAAATATAAAAAAATGTGTTCCTTGATTTTGTTTTAAATTTTCCTTACTAATTTAAAACTTAATTGACATAATTGTTACTTATGATTTGATTAGCATTTTTCACCAATCATCCTTTTGGTATGCTGTTATAAGGAAAACTTTTAATAACAATTGTATAGCATAAAATCTTCTTTCAAATGTACTAAAAATGTTAACCTAAATATAACTATCCTACTCAAGAACCAATAGAAGCGTTAGATACATTTCCGCTCGGCGGTCCAGCCGTTTTCGTCACAGTCGCCAAAACTGCTGCCAGTTCTTTGTTGTTTTCAATTCAAACACTGACCTATCTTGAAAATATACTAAAAAATACAATACATAGCTTTTTAGTTTTTACTAGGGACGGGTCGATTCCTCTTTTTTCAATTCCGATTCCAATACCGATTCTTGCAAATCGATTAATTCCTAATAAGTAAAAAAAAATCCTAATGAGTAAAATACCATAGAAGTAGCCTAATTGAAGCAAGCCCATTCAAGGTATATGTTATATATTTAATGGCAATAAACAATTCTGATTCTGATACTTAGTCATCAATTGATCGTTGTTGTAATTATTGCCTAGGAGCTGTTTGTGTGCCCGTCAGTCAGCCTAACATCCATCCAGGGTCCATCAGCAGTACTGGAAGGCAAAGGGCAGGTCCAGGGCCCGGAACCGCCACTTCTACAGGTGCCGCACAGCTCATTGGTGGCGGAATTTCTCCAACCCTCTTCACATCCCCTGTGAGTTAATCCAATTCAAGTTCAATATTTTCAAGGTCTTTGAGGTCTCCTTGTGTTAATTTGGAATTTGGTGATTTTGCCTGTGTTTGGGTTTACTTATGTGCTCCTGATATACCTGCGACCGGTGCTCTCATCTCAGTGAATACAAATATCTTCTTTATCACTTAGCTGGAGATTAGCCTCTTTGTCTGGTAGACCCTAGGAGAGTATCTTTTGACACGACTGTTTCATCGTCGATACATAGATGAAACAATAAACAGATATAAAATGGCTGATTAAAAGGAAATGGCTGTTGAGACAAAGTTTGGTAAGGCAGAAACCAGTCAAGTTAAACAATGTGAAACATTGCTTATGGAATGATGTGAGTATTGCTGTCGAAAGTAAGTAAATTGCCCTAATAATATCCAATGTCTTGAGTTATTGCGGAAGTAAAACCAAACATCTCGTAGGATTTTGTAAAATAAGTTACTTACAACCTCTACAAAAGTTTACAACTCTACTAGCTTATTATTTGGAAAAAAAACATTTTTATAATTTTGAAAAGGTTATAACAATTTCTCATAGTGATGTGTCAATTCCTAAAGACTGTTCTTGGTTCCATCGGTTATTGGGGAAATAACCGGGACTTTTACCGGGAATTTTACCCCTATATAGCTAAAATAATAAAATATATAAATAAATCAAATATACAATAATAAAACTCATAAAAATGCAGTTTTTGTTGTATTATAAGTGATGATAAAAGCTCGGGTGATAACGACATAATGCTTAGTAGTCTCTAATGGGGTGATTAGTAACCATGGCAACCTGTTAAATGCGTGGATGAAGGGAGACCCAAGAGAGAATGGAAGAACAAAGCAAAAAATAATGGCATTTTTATGTGGTTATCTTTATGAGTTATCGAATGTTTTATAGCTTTACCTTTACAAAATAATAGTTTTAAAATACGGGAACATCAATAATTTATTAATATCGAGTGCTTCTCTTCTGAAACAGCACTACCGCGTAATTAAGGTCAATGACCCAAATTCATGATTGCGCAATGTTGTATTTTGATGTAAAACTGCAAATCATTGCATTAATTTGAATTTAAATATTTCTCCTGGTCCCTGGCATTTCATATAAAATCAAATAATTGTGGTTAATTCAAATTATATTTTTGATGATTCAAAGTTTCTTCGTGGTAAAAGACAATCAAAAGTCGAACCGGGTAAGGAATTCCCGAAAAACAACTTTGTATCATTGTCCTGTGATTGGAATCCTCCCGTCCCAGCCCATTAGGGAAGTGCAGTAGACTCTCTCTTATCCAGACACCTTTTAACCGGACATCGGTTTAACCAGACTAAACTCGGCGGAAATTACATCTCTAGCCGGACAATTTTTATCAGCACATTGGTTTAACCGGACTAGATCGGCAGGAAGTGGGTGGTACTGAAACAACTGTTCTCGATGGAAAGATTTAAGACCAGTGATCACGTGTCTAAATACAATGCTCTCCTAAATTTAAGTCGAATATCACTGTAAACAGTGCGTTTTAACGAGTTTTTGGGGACGTCGGTTAACCGGAAAAACCGTTATCCGGACTGGCCTCGGTCCCGAGGAGTTTGGATAAGAGGGAGGCTACTTTAGTATATGTCTATATATATCTTCAAGGTGTCACCCACCCCTTCCCGCCGCCTTGACTCACTGTGGCCCGCACTCATTTCCAGGTCATTGCCCAACTCCTCTCACCCTTCTATTGTTTTGCCTTTCTAGTATTTATATTCTAACTTTTAACGTTAAATCTATTGCTTACATAACAGCTCAGTAGTAGATTTTTCTACTGCAAACAGTACTTTAAAACCAAAACACCACTAGCTATCCAAGTGGCCGGAGGCGGAACTATTGAATGAATTAATTAATTATATCTTTATTCCAACAAAGTATGTACAAAATTTTACACAAATATTTAATGGAAAAAATTTAAAATTAAAAGAATAAATTAAATTAACCTTTGCATGAAATTTATGTTTAACAGAACGTACTTATTTTTAGGGAATAAGCCGACATGGGCAGCAAGCCTGTCGTTGACTGTAGTTGTGTCCAAACACATCAATATTTGATCAAATAGAAAGAAAAAAATAAAGTAAATGGAGATAGGTATAAATAACTATGGGAAAAAATAGTAGGTGGTATGATCAAGTTTAAAAAATAACAATATTAGCGACAGTAGAAAATATTTCCTTTATATATACAATGGCTGTAAACTATTATGGTGAGCACAAGTTGACTTTCATTTGACCTCGCAATTGTTTTCTGCTTTATGTCTTCATTCCAGATTAATCGAATCGTAAAGCAAAAAAGCCGATAACCACTAAACAAGATAGTATTTCATCATACGGCTTTACCTTCGAGCTCAAAATATTTTAGGCTAGGCAAAAGAAAACTCAATATCAAAGGATGGAAGTACTGCTATCAACAGAAGCATTTGTAATTTTAAAATAAACCCAAGTGTTCAAAATAGAGATGGACGAGACTAGATTTTAAGTTCGAGATGATACCATATATTATTATAGATAATTTGTGCAGTTTTACAATGGTTGACAAATAACAATAAAGCAGTATTAAAACAACAACTAAAGTAAATAACTAATTATTTATTACAAAGGTTGATACAAAGAGAGTGTACAAAATAACAAAAGCTTACAGGAACTTAAATAGTTATGATAATCTTGAATTAGAAAACAATTTAAAATTAAATAAGCCATCACATCTAGTACAAATGTATGCATGCACACCAAAACTAACTGCACTCAACTCCAGATTAACCGGGATAAATTAGGGTTGAGGCTTCCTGGATACTTAAAATCGTGGTTAATCCCTAAAATACTATCGAATAGGAAAGGGTATTAAAATACAAGACAGTATTAAATTATGATAATTAAATTACGAGATATAAAATTTCCCGATAATTTCCTGAAATTTCGAGACCCAAAAACCTAGGTGAATGTTGTATTTGACAGGAATCACAATGACACACTTATATATAGGCCTACAAGATCTACAGTCTTTAAGATCAAACAAAATATTTACAAGACACAAAGTACCTTAAATTAATTTATTTGAAAATAATATGTACATTAGCAGTTTTCTGTTTTTGAACAAAGAAATATCTCTTTTTGACTTCACTTTCATGTTTCGTAACACAATTTTGTCTGCACTTTGAGCATTGTATTGCAGTCGTGGTAAGAGGGGAGGGTCTATGACCTTGAGTGGGCCCTGGCCTGGCTGGTGACAGTGATTTATGGTTTGTTTACGTCCTACTGCCCTTCCATCCGAGAAAAAGACACTGCAGATTCAAAAACATTGACTTACAGTTTAAAAATATTGACTTGTTTGGGTAATTAAAACCGTCCCTCTAAATTTAATTTTACTTATTTTCCTGGAACGCGTTGGTTAAGATGCAACTGATTACGGTTAATCGGGAGTTGAGTAGTATCACAATAAAAACAATCTATAAGAAACGAAAGAAAATTGTAGTAGCTGGTAGGTGTTATTTCTGATATCAGTTTGTTTATAATGATATGATATTCAGTAAAACCAAGTATATACGGTATAGATAGGACCAGGTTCATAACGGATAAACGAATTACCGGATAAACCAATTTTTGAGATGTACACAGTAAAAAAACGCCTTCAGAAAGTCTCTGCAATACCCGCAATACAGGAGCACGTTTTGTTGAATTTCCTTTGCGAAGGCGTTCCTAGTTTTTTCCCCGAACCGAAATCCGCTTTCGGCCAAGAACCGAGTCGGAACCGAACCTTTAAAAAATGGAACTGACTCATCACTAATTTCTCATAATATTTTTAGACCACTTTTATAGGCGTCGAAGGTTATGCCATGAGCCTCCTTTTCTACATGCTCAAAGAGTTCTTACCCTCAAAATAAAAATCTATATATTTCTTAACCCATTCCCGCCAAAAGACTAGTAAAAAGACTAGCGCCCGTCCTAGCACGCCAGGTTACGAAAGACTAAAGACGGGCAGCACCCGTCCTCACGCATCTTGTTCTCATAACTAAAAACGGTCAATAACCATCCACTATGTTTTATTCATTATTATACTTTGTTTTTATACTCTATGCGTTGTTTGCTGGTAGCCTGTAATTTTTTTGGTTGTATTATTGATTTGTTGTCATGACGCTGTATCCTAACCTTAGTTGTGCAACAGCAGTTCGTTTCGTTGTTGCTATGGCGTTTCGTCGCGATGATTTATTCTTACAAAGTGATCGTTTTGCTCAGTTTGTTGATGATATTTTGGCGGAAAGTGGTTGTGAAGTGAGTGGTGATGAATAGGACAAACGAATTATCAGTGATGAAGATGTAAGTGTTCCAAGTGTGTCTAGTCTACCAAGTTGTAGTTCGGCTAACCTAGCAACCTTGAATCCTACTCTTGATTAATATGAAGTTGATTTACCGAATGTTGAAGAAAGTACAACGTAAACATTCCAAATAATGTAAATATTGAAAATCGAGCTCTGAATCCTGGTCATAATAGGCATAGACCTAGGAGTGAGCCTATTCGCAGACGAAACCGTAATGAACCTGTTCGTAGGCCTAGGCCTCGAATACGCATAACAAAACCAAAGCCCTGGGACTGGTTTGAGGGTGAAAATGAGGTAGAAAATATTCCTTTTACCAGAAAACATGGGATAAATCCTGTTATATCTAGACAACTGACAGACAAGAGCAATGAACTGGATGTGCTAGACCAGTTTTTGGGAAATCATTTTTGGGAACAGGTATGTGACGAAACAAACAGGAATGCTCACAAATACCTAGATGAGGGCATGCCTAATGTGAAATGGGTAGATTTGACCATTGATAAACTAAAAGCCTATTTTGCTTTAGTGGTACTAATGACAAAATGTGAAAGCTAATATCCATGACAACTGGTCAAGGAGAAGGGTTTTGCATCAGCCTATTTTTGGCGAAACTATGGCACGAGACCGATTCAAAATTATTTCTCGTTTTTTACATTTCTCATCTTCTGTAGACCCTAATGACAAACTAAGAAAAATTAGGCCTATTATTGACAATTTGATTGCATCCTATAAGAAAGTATTTACTCCTCAGAAAGAAATTTGTGTTGACGAAAGTCTAATAAAATTTTGAGGCAGACTGAGCTATATACAGTTTAACCCATCAAAACGAGCCAGGTTTGGTATAAAAATATACAAATTGAATGACTCTAAAACTGGCTACTGTTATAACTTCATAATTTATGTTGACAAAGAGACAGATACACAGACCCAAGAAGAAAATGAGGAGAATACAGATGATCCTGACAATGCAGAAAATCTTGAGGTTGGTGAAAATCAGACAGAAAATGCTGCAACCCCGGAGAATAGTTTTTTACTCAGTGAAAAAATAGTATTAGAAATTTGTGCAGATCTGTTGGATGAAGGCCGGGTTTTATATTTAGACAACTGGTATAGTTCACCTAAACTCTTTTTAGAGCTATTAAACAGACATACGTACGCTGTAGGAGTTGTGAGGTCTGACAGAACCGATTTCCCAAAAGAAATAAAAAAGAGACAGCTTGAATTAGGTGAACTTACCTTTTTGCACACTAAGAAAATCTTAGCCCTGAAGTGGAAGGACAGAAAGGATGTAGCCATGCTATCAACCATCCATACCAGACCTGAATATGAGGAAGTCATTCCACAACGAGAGAGAAGACGTCCTAATCCACCACCACAACTAAAACCAAATGTTGTAATAAACTACAACAACAACATGAACGGGGTGGACAAACAAGACCAACGACTCTCATGCTTCCCAGTGATGTGCAAGTGTATGAAAGGGTACAAGAAATTGTTTTATCTCTTTGATGTTACATTGAACAATGCCAGGATAATTCATGAGATTGTGACAAAGAAAAAGTCAACAATGTCAAAATTTAGGATAAATTTGGCTGAACAGATTTTGGAAAGTGTCAATCTAACTAACAGACCAGTAGGGGAAGGCCATGGGTTGCAGCTGAATCACCACTGCGGTTACAGGCCAGGCATTGGGGTCATTTAATAAGGAAGATTTTGCCCACTTCTAAGCAAAGGCCTTCAAGGAAGTGTAGAGTGTGTAGTGCTCAAGGCAGGAGAAGTGAAACCGTGTACGAGTGCAGGAAGTGCCTTGTGCCTTTGCACTTAGAAACATGTTTCGAGGTGTTTCACACCCAAACATACTTTTGAAACCGAGGAAAAGGATGTAAATAGAGTGTAAATAGTGTAAAACTGTATATAATATTGTGGCAGAAAGGTCTGGAGCTCACAAAAAAAGTAAGTTACCAATCTTATATTTATTATATTAGGCTATAAGGTTTTCTTTAGTATTCGAGTATGAAATAAGACGAATCACGTTTTTGGTTATAACATGCTTGGTAATTGTCCGGTGGTAAGAATAATTATAATATAATCATATTGAGAATGAAAACCACAACATTTTGAGTACCCACAATGATATACTGTATTTGGAATGAAACTTGTTTTCCCTGAAATGCTGTGAAATTTCCCTGAAATTTCCCTGACGACTACTTTGATCCATTTTATAGTTAAAAATTAATATAATCATGCTAAGAATATAATTTACCATTTATTTCAATACTCACAACACCATAACTTAGTACACATGCAATTTTTGTGGAAAGTTTCTATTAGGCCTATTCAGGCCTATTTTGTTGTTTTGCAGAGCTTTACAAAAACAGCTATAAAATGAAGGATTTTATATACAAACAAACCAAATAATTTTTTTTATCTAAGGAATTGAATACTATTTATGAATTTTATCAAGAAATTGATTGAAAAAATTTTTGTAGGTATGCTTTCATAAAATATTTTTTTTATACTGTATAAATATATATAAAATCCATATATGTATTTAAAATTGTGATGAAATATTTTTGATTGAAAATTAGTGTCACATAAAAGGAAATTTGTAGGCGTTTATTTCATAAATTACATTTTTTATGAGTTTTTTACTAAAACACTGCACATTGGCCCATTTTAACTCAGTTCTAACTGCATGATACAAATAACTCAGTCAGGAATGGGTTAAATGTAATTCCTAAACAAAACTGTGGTTATTTTCCCAACTGATTGTGTGATATAACATCATGTGGAACAGTTTGTCTGATGTACGTTTTGTTTTTTGTTTGCAGCAGACACATCAGCTGGTGCTTGGCAACACTGCTCACTTCCCTGTCAACAACAGTCTCATGATCGGAGACTACGTCACACCCACTAGTGGAATGTTGAGTGTGCAGGGCTACAGACAATAATCTTTCTTCTCCACATCTCCTTCTCAAATTAGAATAGTTGTTGGTCAATTTTTTACCCTCTAGTCTGGCTGAGTTAGTGCTCCTCAATTGTTTTTAACGGAATCATTGTTTTTGCTGGTACCGTATCAAAAGAAATCATAAACTCTAGGTAAATTAAAAATTTAATTGTTTGGATGGATTTTAGTTTTAAGGAAATTTGTTGGAAACTGCTTAAAAACTGTCATTGATGGCATCACATTATGATCATCCTCGAAGGATAAAATCATTAAAATGATGTTTGTATTGTAGACAATTAGAAGCAAAGCCTCTTAAAGATGACTAGCAAAGTTGAATGATTTTGTCTTGTATGATTTGACTTGATTTTAATTGTAAATTATTGTTTGATCATATATTGTGTAGTTTTTAGATTTTAACTTGCTATCACTGTTTAAAATCTGATCAGTTTCTATTTCTTTTTAGTTTTTTTTATTTGTATATATTTATAAAGTGATTATTAATCGTAAGTGTACTATTTATTTTGTTGTCTTCAATATACAAATCAGAAATCAATTGCAAAAGCATACATAATAGCATGAATTAATCTGTGATTATTTGTTTCAGTTATCAATTGTTTATTTAAATATTTTATTTTGATACATATTGGTGGATTATGCCCAATATTATTTATTGCACGAATTTTAAAATAAAGATACTTGACTGTGTGAATGTGTACAACTATTTATTTTAATTCAGGTACAAAATATGGAAGTTTGATGCTCTAAATCATTCTAAGATAATACACAGTGATTGTCATGTTTTGAACGGTAGCTCATTGGTTAGTTTGTACTCGCTAGACATAATATTTTAGACGATTGACATGTAAATTATTGTTATAATTAGAAATACAATCATACTTTTTTAACATATAGATATATTTTTTGTGGAATGCTGTTAGATTGTAAATTGTCTTTCTGTTTTATGTCATAATATTTGTTCCACCATCAGTTTTAGCTTAAATTTCTATTTTTCCAATTTTAACCCTCGTTCAATTTTTATTTTATTTTATTTATGATAATTGTATATTATAATCTGATCATAATTATATTTTAATTTGCCTGCATGAATTTTAACTGTTGTATTTTCATCTGGATGAAAAATAGGCTTTAATTATTTCAAATAATTGTTATTTTAATCCCACTGAATAATTATGGACTTTGTTCACTAAGTGAAATGTTTAATTTTAATCTCTATTTTATTATTTTAAATGTATATTAAGTTAGTCTGCAATTATTTTAATTGGAAACATAATGTTATATTTTTAACACATAATGATACATTATCGTATAAAACAAGGATTGTGATTTTTGTGATTAAGATTAGGCCTACTTCTACTTTTAGTAAGTGTAAGTTTCTAAATTATATTGTAGAAAAAACAAATGTGCATGATTTTTAGGGCATGAAACACTAAATAAAACTGTAAGGCTGAGTAGCTGAATGGTTATAGTATTTTCCAGGTAATCGGAGAAAAGTCAATAGCTTCTTGATGATTTGAAATTGGACTCAGCTGTTCCTCATCATTGGACTATAAAATGATTTTGACTTAAGAAGCAGCTGGTCTTAGCCAGTAACAAAGCATCTCACTCTATTCTATTCTCATCCTTCACTCGTATTTTGGTTTAAATATGCCTGGTTGCGTCCACATCGTAATTGGTTATATGGTAATAAAAATATGTTAATAAATGGATTTTGTGAAATTTGATCAAGTCTTATTGTGTCCAAAACATATTAAAATACTTAAGGGTGTAGCATAGAGCACAAGGGCCTAGATTTTTTAGGATTTTTTGAGAGTTTAGCAGGCTTACCTGAATGGGAAAGAGTCCAAACTGGCACAGGAAACACAAAACAAAACTTTACACTATATACACAAAACATTAGAATATTTCACTGTCACTGATAGTATTTTCAACTAAGGAAGAGAGATTTTTGTGTACAAACAACAAGTAGTTTGTACATAAAGTACAAACTCTCTCTTCCTTAGTTGAAAATGCTGTCAGTGACAGTGAAATATTCTAATGTTTTGTGTATATAGTGTAAAGTTTTGTTTTGTGTTTCCTGTGCCAGTTTGGACTCTTTCCCATTCAGGTAAGCCTGCTATCCTCTCAAAAAATCCTAAAAAATATTAAAATACTTAGTATTTAGTATTGATGCTCGAATTTAGGATTTCAAATCCTGGGTTTTGTTCCAAATTGCAAAATTCCAAAAATCGATTCTCTAATCAATCTCAAATTTAAGTACAATATTTATACAGTAAAACCTCACTAACTCCACGCCCGGAAAATGCAATTTGAAAGTGTGTGTAATTTGACAGTCAACAGAAAACAGGGCAAAAAAAATTTCAGAACATTTATTATTAATTGCTTAATATTTCAAATTTGTTTGAAGATTCTTTACTCAATATGCAAAAATATTCATTAAATGTGCTTTGTGTCGAAAATGTGTGAACTTTATGTGTCGACATGTGTTTGTACCTCATAACGAAGACTTCTGTCGGATTTTGGACCAATCAATTTGATGAAAATGGGTTTGAAAATGGGTCATTTCTGACCCGAAACTAGTCACCCTTTAGGATATTAGGACTGGAGACGGAATAAAAAAGGTACGTAACCTATCATATCAAAAATATTCATGTAAGTAATAAATTTATGTGTAAAAATAAGTCTGTTATGTATTAATTTATTAAAGCACATTAAAAAATATAAATATAAATGTTCTGGATAACTCAACGACCCAAAACTTGACAACCTCTGGGTCGACAAATTGTTGGTTAGTGAGGTTTTATTATACTACACAATACAGAGTATACTGTGAAAACAGGTTTTCCCTGCTATTAACTCTTTCTTCATGAATCCTAAAATTTATAATAGAGCTTTAAAAAATATTGATACCCTAATCATTATATCTTTAACTAGTGTATTAATGATTATTTTATAATTAATTACCTAATATCTGCATATTAGGCTGCCCTTAGACACAAGGCAATTAAAGTAAGGATATAAACAGAAATGTTACGAATCGGTTAAATTAAAGTTGTCCTTTAGGTAAACTGTTAAAAGAGTTCAGCTTCTCGTCTGCCCCTTATAGCCCAGGCAAATTAGACATATGCTCCCCAAAAAATCGTCTAAAGCTGGAAAGTGTTTTAATACCTTTTGGGGGTCCCAAATAAGACTCCTGTGAGTTTGCGACGGATTCTGACGTCTGCTTAAGTTTTGGGAGTCGAAAAACTATGAAAATTTTGCACTTTTTTCAGTTTTTCGCTTATAACTCCTAAATAACGAATCCTAAGGAAAATGTTGTTCAAAGGTGTCTTTTAGTGCATTAAATTACGCGTCGATTGATGTTAAATACGTCAAAATCGGCCGAGCCATTTAGCCGCTGTAGCTTTTCAAAGTTCGGATATTTTCATCAACATGGCCAAAAGGTTGATTATTTGACCAGTTTTCGACTTACAACTCCTAAACGACGCATGCTATACAAAAATGCGCCTGTAGTTAGTTTGGAAAACACAAAATTCGGCGTAGAATTATGATTATGAATGACTAGATAGTGGTTTATTTCATGGTTATCATCCAGAGGTTTATCCAAGAATGTGTGAAGGGAAGGGGACCCTATGCAATTTTAAATCTAATATTGTTGAGGGGGTTACAAAAATTCTACGATTCGTTCTAAGCTCCCATTTATACGATTCCATCACTGGACACTCCCGAATGATGTTAAGCGATTCTAATATATAATAAGATATTACAACGAGAAAGATTTTATTAAATATAGCAAAAATGCTATTTTTTAGCTTAATAAACGAAAGATGATAATGGGACGGATGTACATAGTTTTACTATGTATTTAGCCTATTAAAAAAAATTGGGATTTTTCGTAGATTTTACCATATAACTTTTCTACTTCTCATCATTGGAATCTTAAGAATAAGGATTCATTCTTTGCTCTTATTGGTCTTGCCACAAATGGTGACATTCGGTAACATCTTTTTCGTCAGATATCGAATTGAGATAATCGTGCCCCTTGCAAGTCTTTCAGACAGTAGTTCATTATATCCCTGCATTTCATATGGAGCGAGAAAATGTAAACCTTTTTAACATGTACACGATGGTCGAGATAGGTAGACGGAGTTGAGAAGTTCTTGTCGAACCGGTGGATTAGCCGTAGTGATGGGAGTTAACCCATTGACGTTAATTTTCCATACCTATCTCTCTGAATTAAGTACAATTTTAAATGAGCTCTAAAGGATTGGTGGATGAGCAGCCCCTTTTGTAAGAATCAAAGTCAAAATTAGTTGAAAGTGTCCTCTAGAAGAGACCAACCCTCACTTGATTTGGATATTTTCTGCTCCCAACCATGTATAGAGCCAACCTGCTTCTGCAACTTCGCCAAGCGTTGTAACCCGTCAGAACACAGTGAGATCCACATTGATTGGAGTAAACAGCATGAGTAGTTAGGCTACATGAATAGTTAGATTTTCGACTCTTCTACATCACGCTTTCTTCATCAAACTGCGCTAGTGGGTACGGACCTATTTTCAATCCAAAGTATGATTCAAATTGAGGCTTGGATTTAATGAGGAATATCACGTGTTGACTGAGGGGGCAGATTCTTCTTTAACCTTTGCTGTTGCCATCACAGCTCGCGATTAATGTCACCACTTCCTTTTATTCTGCACAGTTTATGGCCATTATAGGCTTGCCTATTTACGATTTTCTTGCAAGCTGTGCCTTTCCATTATGATTTATACATATCTCGCGTTGATGCTATCATATGGGATAACTGCTGAGCTGATTGACATTAGCGAACAATTTTCAGTAAATGGGTCGTGACACTGGAACCATTTGATGAATTTCTTTTTGATCCCACCGTATCCGTGGAGTTTATATTGTCAACTTGCTGATTATATGTTGAAGAGGTGATCCCACAATATACCTTAACTTGATGGGTAGCATTCACTGCGATGGGCCTGCCAGCGAACCATCGGGCTAGATCCACATCATTGATTCCCTTATCTCGGAAAAAGCTCTCCACAGTAAGATATTGCTCTCATGAGCACTTACTTGTTCATAGGCCATGCTGCACGATCCATGACGTCACACTAGTGGATAGATTCACTGCCATATCCCCTATGTTTTTTGTAATTAGGCTGGTTGTTTGCCAGATTTCAATGGTAAGATTTTAAACTTGACAAGCATCAGATCTAGTGTTAACAATCAATAGCGGTTAAATGGTAAAGCCGATCTTAATGAATTGGAAAACATTCTACGCAGACGTTTATGCTCTTCAAACTAACAACAGGAACATTTTTTCTATAGCATGCGTTAGAAGATGTAATCCAAAAACTGAAAGATGAATACAGGGATAAATCGTATATAATGGGTGGTTGGGATGAATCCTAGGATTTTCGGACAACAATATTAGACTTAAAATTATATAGGGTGTCTTACTCTCATCACACCTTATTAGATAAACCTCTAGATGACCATCATGGAATAAACCACTATCTAATAATTCATAATCCATTTAAGGACAGGATCTATGTTGTTACCAATTTTATTAAAATTTCCCAACTTTAACTTTAATACTTTTTTTCAATGAAATGGCGTCCATACAAAGTAGGTAACAATCAATTGCCGTTATTGATTAATAAAAAAAAACATTATACGCAGAATTTTGTGTTTTCCAAACTAACTACAGGTGCATTTTTGTATAGCATGCGTCGTTTATGAGTTTTAAGCCGAAAACTGGTCAAATAATCAACCTTTTGGCCATGTTGATGAAAATATCCCAACTTTGAAAAGCTACAGCGACTAAACGGCTAAGCCGATTTTGACATATTTAACATCAATCGACGCGGAATTTAATGCACTAAAAGACACCTTTGAACAACATTTTCCTTAGGATTCGTTATTTAGGAGTTATAAGTGAAAAACTGAAAAAAGTGCAAAATTTTCATAGTTTTTCGACTCCCAAAACTTAAGCAGACGTCAGAATCCGTCGCAAACTCATAGGAGTCTTATTTGGGACCCCCAAAAGGTATTAAAACACTTTCCAGCTTTAGACGATTTTTTGGGGAGCACACCCTATATTTGATCTAATTTGCCTGGACTATTAATCTGGTTCAAAATTTTTTGTCAGTGAATACATGGGTTGTGGTGGACCAGATTAAGAACAAGTGTATGAGATTCAGTTCTCCAATTTTTGATGATTTGTTGGATTTGATATTCAGTTTTCACACATCACTAGAATTTAGCTTATTTTTAGCTAGTGGCTTGATTAGGTTGTAAGGTACCAAATTTTAAGGGGGGTAAAAACGTACTGCGAATAAATGAACACCAGAACTTACCCGATTTTTATCCACAATAGCCTACTCCTAGGCCTATGTGTTGGCCATAGCTTGGACTATGGGCCAAAGAACGTAGGCCTATTTTTATTCACAGGAAAGTACACAAACACATCCACAACTACATATTTATTCATAATAGCGCTTCGTTTCACATAATAAAGTTAAACCGGCCGATTTTACAGATATTTAACGCAGCCGACGACATAACCCCAAACTGGTGTTTATTTGTTGACAGACGACAGACGAAACTAGACCAGCTCAACAAGTGAATTTGCGATCAGCTGTTGTCTAGTAGTACTAAAGTTCGCCGCTTGAGCGCGTAAGCCTCGAGCGGGCAGGAACGAAGGATTTTACTC